TTTTTGCAGCTGCCACCCTAGGTGCGATCGCGTGATAAATTTCAGTTCACTAAAGCTTTCTCATGAAAAATTTATGTTCAAGGGGTAAACGGTCAGAAATTAATTACGTAAGTGACATTAACTCGCGTATGATTTTTTACCCTTTGGCGGTAGTGAGGGCAAACTGAAGGACTTGTGCAGATTGTAGTCAAGGTCATAAAATCGTGCTCAAAAACGTGCCTACAAATTCTTTGTAGCATCACAGCCCCCTCTCCTCCCACGATATTGCATTGTTCGAAAGAAAAGTAAAAAATCCGCTACAAAGGCTCAAGGCCACGCCCACTACCGCCCACCTTGCCCATTCAGAGAACTTCCCGCACAGAACGTGCACACGCGCTCTCTAATTGGTTGCCTCTGCAAAGTTGGCACTTGCTCACCTTGAGACGGATGGCAACAACGCCCTTTATCGCCATTTTCGCCCATACCGAAGAAATAAGCACGAGCATCATTCTGCGCAACTCTTCTTGCTTCATTTGTCAGCTATAAAAGTTTTCTCCCTCGTTCTCAAGACGCCCATTAGTTTTCCAGCTTTTACAAAAAATGGTTTTTGTCCTAATACATCAATTAAGTGCTCTCACCCACGTCATCCTCGCCTCCTCCATATTGTTTGGACAAAAGAATATTCTGGCTAGTTTTGCGGAATTTTTTAGTAAAAATTCTTGGAGGTACGAGACACTCATCTCAGTAATAAATCTTGTTTTACGCAGCAAAAAGTAGATGAGAAGATTTGAGCTCATAGTACTTCGTGTTTACTTAAGAGGCTGTGGGATCAACACATGCTAGAGTGGACTAAAAGTTTGCAAAGGACATGCGGCAATGCTAATTTTGACAGCTAGTTCCTTTGATTAAAATTTACGCGAAAGAGCAAATTCCTGCTTTTTTTTTTCAAATTTGATCATTTCAAATCCTCAAAGGGTTACCCACATAAAAATGGTATTCAAAATTACTAGTATTTATCTTTTTTATGAAGGGTGTAAACTTAACAGAAAAGTTGCTGTAGACTTAAAATGTTCATTTATATGTCCTCATTAGCTATTACTATTTTATTTATTTTATTTTTATTTATTACTTTGATCCATGATCCAATCATGGTCGCATGCGGCATTAATTCAATTCTTTGATGGTTTGTCACAGTTGTTGAATATTTAAAAATTTCAAAATTTCTAGAATCAGAAAAAAATAGTAAGAGATCAACCTGTTGCTTTTAGAAGTCATTGAAACAAAATGAAGAAAAATTGTAAAATTTTTTTACAAAAAATCCTCCGTTATTACAATCTCTTCAAGCAGGTTGGACCGTTGTAATCAGTATTATTCGCCTATAGGGACCAGATAACTTCGTTTAGGTATTTTGAGTGAAGGAGAGGGGAAGGAGGGGGGGGGGGCAAAACCTGAACTTTTAAACTTGCTTGTTCTTTGATCTCTCAATCCGTGATGCACTTCCACGGCGTTAAGTTTTGGAAAATTTTCTAGAACTTCCCGCTAATAGAACTTTTCAAAACCTTATCCACGGTGTTTAAGGTGCTTGCTATTGTACATCTTAACCATGGTTGCTATCAATTTTTTTGGTTATCGTCAAAACAAATTGCATTTGAAGTCGTGAAAGTACGCGCATTGCTCCTCCTATAATTTATAGAGGGCCTTTTCAACAAAAAAATCATGATAAAAATTTGTAAAAAAAATTCTGTTTTTGAGAGAGACTAGAGTCAGCCCTAGCGTTGTCGAATACTGCAGTTCTTGATTTAAGGATGCATTTGTTTCTTTCAGATGTGCCCGTTTGAATTACATCTGTTGCATCATTTCTCACGAAAATTTTTCGATAAATTTTTCTTAGATATTTTACAAAAAATTTCCATCATTTAAGTGTATTAGAGCCGACTATAAATTGTTCTTACATAGGACATCCAAGGATCCCTACGGTTAACGATCCGCCAACAAGATAATATATACTATCAAATTTTCGTTCCGATGCCTCGATAATGAAAAAAATTGTTTTTTTTTTACTTTTTTTAAAATCCGCTTAGATTATCAGTCCTCGGATGTCTGTGCGCGTTGAATTTAGGTTGTGAGTCTTTTCTTGCTTCATTTGCGAAAAAATTCTTGTCGAGTGATTTTCTGATGTTTTTTTCTTCTTGCAAAAATTTCTCTGACTGCATAATGGGGCGACTTGAATGCTCCCAACCATTTAATGCTCCTCAACTAGGCTATAAAATTTACCAATCGTCCTTCGTTGAGATAATTTTCGGAGAAAATTGGATGTCGAGATATTAAAAAGCGTTTCGTTGCCCTTCCTTAAAATTTAAGGAAATTTATGGGAACATTTTTCCAGAATTATTGCTGAAAATTTCCCATTACTCACAGCCTACTAGCTGGAACACATCTCTCTCTCATCTCACATCACATCTCTCTCTCACATCTCTCTTCTAACTTGGTCATTACCGGTCTTTTATTGAATATTCTACGTTTTGCTGCTCTTTTTTAAAATTTATGGAAAATTTCACCTAAATGTTTCTCAAAAAACTTCACCACCTTCACCTCCCGTTTTTTCAAGGCAGACGGTGCCTCGACCCATTCAAGGTGATATCATTACAGTGAGAATCCAATATAAGTAACTTTCGTTCAAAAATCTATATATCCGATCCTTTTTAATTTTTTGCTGCAGTAAGAATTTTTTCCGAAATTTCGCAAAAACTTTCCCGTTACTCGAAGTGTATTTGTCGTCTTGACGCTATAGTTATTGTTGGTTTTCTGCCGGAAAATCATCAGTCGAAGTAGCCTTCCAGAAGGAACGCGTACCATCTTGAAGGACATCAGACGCTTATTCCAAATCTATTTTCCTGATCTGCGGAGCGTCTCTGGACAAGAATGAGGGTGGAGGACATTAGGTCGCCGAATTTGGAAGAGTCCCGCGCGGATTCCCTGCAGGAACGCATGTCCGCCCATGTACAAGGGTGCGTATTTGTCGCAAATGACCGCGGGGACCGCCCTTTTTCGGCGACCTAATGTCCCCCACCCCAAGAATGAGAGCTTTTGTAGCGAGATTTTGAGCTGAGAAGTTAGAAGGAAATCATTCATAATAGTCTTTCGTGAATTTAAGTGGAACGATGCTGACTGTTGCGCCTTTCTATAAAAAGAAAATTTTATTAAATTAAAAATTCTATCCCCGTGTCCATCACTAATCCATCTGTGAGTTGGTAAAGCTGTCACCTTGTTTGTTCTGATCAGGCGTTCAGGTTTTTGACTCATTATACGCTAGTAACTCCTTACCCAGGGGCGCTCCGCAGATAAGGAAAAAGATTCAAACTCAATGTTCAGCGCGCTTTAAGTATGCATCTTAACTGGAAAGTCCACTTCGACCAAGGATCCTACCTGTGGGATATTCCTTCTTTCTTGAAAGCATTGCAGTTTGAATTGTAAGTGCACCCGCTTTGTCCTAACATCTACGGAATCCTTTTTTTTTAAATCTTCGTGAAAATTATCTGTTTCTTGAAACGTGTAAGTGCTGACTTGAATGTAGCACAATCTGCGTACATTTTCAAGCAATTATTACTATCATTTTTATTTGAATTTCGAATTTTTTGATTTCTTGATTTTTTTTCAAGAAGTTCCCATTGAAGCGTATTTGACCGGCCTGGTGTTTGATATCGTGATGCAATTCCGTTCTTCAATTCTTTTAGAATTTTGCCGATAAATTCCCGTTGCACGAATTTTATAAAAGATGAGCTTACGCTATCTGCATTGTTATGTATTAGGTTGTCCGGAAATCAATGCAGGTTTTGAATTCCAACCGCAATAAGTCGTACACTTCTCATTTCTAAGTAGGTTGCAGGGTACCGTTCGATAGAGCAAAGTAATCTCTATCAAATGGCTATCTTGATTTAGCAATAGCTCTGATCCACAACGTGTTTCGCGCCAAAAACTAAAAACATTCAAGCGTCCGAAAAATTGAGAAAAATCGTAACTCAGTTCATAAAAATCCTATAAAAATTCTAACTTGCTCCCGTAAACATAATCCACATAGAGCATCTATATACGCCGTTGCCGTATTTTTTTCTGTGTTAGAAATCAAGAAAACGGAAATTTTCGTGCATTTGCCAAAGTGATGCTGTGCCGTCCAAACATAGGTAGTTGTATACCACAAGCCTATAGAAGTACAGACTTAAATTTCCAGCTTTCTACAAGCTTTAGTTCTCGAGAAATGTGAATTTTAGCTTGGACCTCATGACTAGGGAAAACTGTATTCGATATTTCTCGAGAACTAAAGCTTGTAGAGAGCTGGAAATTTAAGTATGTACTTCTACAGGCTTGTGGTATACAACTACCTATGTTTGGACGCCATAGCATCACTTTGGCAAATGCACAAAAATTTCCGTTTTCTTGATTTCTAACACAGAAAAAAATACGGCAACGGCGTATATAGGTGCTCTATGTGGATTATGTTTACGGGAGCAAGTTAGAATTTTTATAGGATTTTTATGAACTGAGTTACGATTTTTCTCAATTTTTCGGACGCTTGAATGTTTTTAGTTTTTGGCGCGAAACACGATGTGGATCAGAGCTATTGCTAAAGCAAGATAGCCATCTGATAGAGCTTACTTTGCTCTATCGAACAGTACCTTGCAGCCTACCTAGAAATGAGAAGTTTATGACTTATTGCGGTTGGAATTCAAAACCTGCATTAATTTCCGGACAACCTAATATTTTCAATTGTAATTATTGCCTTTTTTTAGAAGTCCAAAGAAGTGCCCTCGTAATGTTCTAGTGATTTTTCCCAAAAATCGTTGCGCAAATCTTACATGAGCCGATCTTAATGCCCCCAATACTGTTGTGCATCCCCTCTTCTTCAATTTTTATCCCATTTGCCGAAATTTTGCGGTTTCACGCAGTGTATAAAAGCCGAGCTTGAAGCTGGCTTCTCGTTCATTCTTCGTCATTTCCAAATGGGTAAATACTGCCATTTTCAGATGTCCTCAGAAGAGTGCTCTCGTAATGAGAGTTACGATTTCGTACGGTATGCTGTGATTGTCTACATAGGAACCCCGATTGCACTTGCCGGTGTCGTCTGCAATTGCATTTTGTTGGTAGGTCAATCTATGCGCATGTGGTGTGATTGAACATCATCTGTCAAATTTAACGAGATTAAAAGTCACGCTGACACCATTGTCCGTACTTGAAGTACTTTTTAAGTTTAGTCTCATCGATAAAGCCACAACTCAATTTGAGAGTGATTGATGGATATAGATTCTGCCTTATGATAAGAAGTAGGGGTTTTTGTTATATAGAAACTCCAAATGTTCAAATCCGTGTTTTTACTTGTTGATGTATGTAATGCGCTCCGGGACCTGCATTTGACATACAGACTGAGTCTATTCACTACTTCCGTGAAAACAAGTCATGTAGAAAAGTGAAGGGATAATATTGGGCGTAATTTATAATAGTAACAGCGGCTATTTCAAAACTATTTTCGGGGGGGGGGGGGGGAAGGGAAAAGAGGGGGTGACAAAAGATTTCTGTGTTGGAGATTTATTTGGGATCCTTCCCACTTACAATTTTGGGAAAAAGAAAAACTTTGTGATAAAAAATTCAAAATAAGAGAAGTAATTCTTTTACAAAGCCGTAAAACTCGGGAAATCATTCTGATTCCTTACAAGTAAAAGCAAGTCATCGGCATAGTTTAATATAGAACTTTTCCATAGATCAACACTTTCTTGGGTAAAGTGGGTGCGGTTTTTTAATCAAAGTATTTGGCAGGCACTTTGCTTCAAATTTCTTCCAAAGGAGCTTTTCTATTTTCATATATTTTTCCAATATACTAGGTCGTCCCGATAATGTTTTCGCATTTTTTAAAAGATGCCACAGTTCGCAGAACAAAGTGTAAAAAATCTCAGTAAAGTTCGATGCGTCCTTTCATTCTCTATCAAATGGTTATGCTTTTATTGCATTAAGTGAAAGTAACCCTAAAAAATCATCAAAATTTGAAACACATGCTTTTTGTTAGGGTCACGTTTCGCTATTTCTTCAAAGTTTTAGCAGAGAATCTTCTGCTTCTTCATAGAAAAATGCTTCTGTGATGCAAAGAACACACTACATGATAGAGCAAGATTTCGGCTGCAACATACTGTAAGCGCAAAATCTAAGATGGTCTGACAAGAAAATTATCGGCGCTTAAACAAAGTCATGTGTTTGCTACATGCTCAAAACTGCACATTTTAAGGGTGCGAATGAGCGAAAGAAAAGCAGAAATTGACTCCAAATCAAGTTGAAATTTAGTTTCGTCGGTGAAAAAGGACTGATCTATCTAGAAGCTGCTTTTTATTGCCATTTTTGGAAGAATAACTGTTGGCGAATGCAAGTACTACGATTCGATAGCGCAAAGCCTCCTTTACACTGTGTACATAAAATCTCTTGAGAATATCTCAAGATTCTCCAGTTACGGAATGAGTTATAACTACCGAAAAATTAGGTTTTTGCGCCTTCCAAAAGTATTGGTCCGACAATTTCATTATTTGCACAAAGGTATGGCAATCACCTTGGGCTCATAGAACGCTATTTTGTAGAGGATGATTGCAGCATTTTGCCACATAAATTTTGAAATCAAAACTATGTGCAGTTTTTTTGCAGCACTCATGCAAGGTTGACGCAAATACTATTGGCGCACCCTATAATGCAATCAAAGCATTTGATATAGAGTGAAAAGACGCATCGAATGATACCGATACCTTCTAAATCTTTGTTCTGCGAATTGTGGCAGCCGTTCAAAAAAGCAAAAATACTGGGGCGACTTATTAGTAAAGAGTATGTAAATGCTGTCTTTTCCAGTCAAAAAACTTAACTGCATGGGATACAGCTTTTTCTTTTATTTTCAGCAATTAAGTTTTTGCACCAACCCTATGCGGCAAGAAAAAATCGCCAAATTGACAGCCCATCACTTTAACTTCGCCTATATCTCGTTAATATCCAGAATGTTCGTTTGAGTTATCCGAAAGAAGTAGATAACATATAAACGGAGCACAATTTTGTCACAACACTTTATCTTCTACCATTGATCAAAGCATTTCAAATCTGTAAAGTTTCAAAGTCTTGAGAGCCATACAAAATTAGAATACGATCCGTAACAGCGCTTTATGCGTGCATATAAATGGGAACGTTTTAAAAAAATAGCCTATAAGGATTTCAATTGCACAAAACGCCATATGTATGCAAAACATCGATGTATTTCTGAATGAATATTTTTGAAAATAGCGGGAACTAAATCAAAACCCAGAATACACAAAATATAGCAAGATGAAGTGCTACTCCTGAAAAGAATGAGTCCTTGCTTTATGAGGTTTAACGAGCGTCCCGGAAATACCCCACCCCACAATTTTTCGGTTTGGGTTGATAATTGAAGGGCTCAGAACTTCAACTATCGTAATCTTACCATAGCGCCTCCATTGTGAGAAAACAAGGTTTCAGATTAGCAGAGCTTGCATTTAAAGTCGAAAAACAATTGTAGGGCTCATTGAACTCAGGTTAGTAGTGCATACTATGGGGGCTCACATCACAATAACCGTTAACTATTGGCTTAGTTATTCAACGAGAGGTTAAGATAAAGTCCAATGCAAAAGCTGTAAACTTTACCGTAACCCTACAGTGACAAAGAAAGCGGAGATTTGCCATCTACTGCATATGAAACTCTAAGTGTACGCGCCCCTGTTTTTTAGTCTACAAAATTTTCATAGCATTGAACTAAAATCTGTCTTCTCTTTTTGCTCAGAACTTTCCTTTATCAATCCTTTTTTTTTCAGCGACTCTTTTCTCGGATACGCTCCAGAAAATCACCAACGCTATACTTGCTCGTTTTGGCCATTCTTGGTGAGTTATCTCGGTGGTTGCCTTTTGCATGGGGAAAGAAGTTCGTGCAGGATGCAATTTATGTTTTTGTCAAACAATTTTCTCTGGATGCAATTTCACATGGCTTTAAATATCACATCTCATGGGATGAAACGTTTGAATTGTTGATGAAAATCAAGCAACAAAGAACCCCGCATAATTTCATTTCCTTATGAAGAATTGCAGATGAAATGAAGCCGGAAGACAATTACGCTGTAAAAGTAGAGACAGAGGGTGGGGGGGGGGGGGGTGAAACAAGGGAAATACAACTTTTTAAGTTCAAAATTTAACTTATTTTCCCTCGCTTCAGACTTGCTAATGGATCTGCTCTACATCCCTTTGTTCACCGTGGATGCGCTGGCTATCTATCATGAAAATGAATTCCTTTACCATATATGGCATGTCTACGCCATGCTCATGTTTGGCATGAGTCGAATGGGTAGGTCAAAGATTACCCAGGAAGAAAACTTTGGAACCCAATTAAGGAACTTTTTTTAGTGCAATTCGCTTCGACGTATATGGTACTTTGCGCTACTATGGAACGATTTATCGTTGTCGCTGAGATCCAATCGTTGGGACTCCTAGTAACGTAAGTTTGCCCTTCCTCCTCCCTCCCCCCCCTTCCTCCTGCCTTGAGTTCAAAATTTAATTGCTAGGATTTTCTAGAGAACAAGGTCGTTACATCACTATCGGGATGGTTTTGCTAGCATGCCTTGGTCTACGAGTACCCGCCTTCTTCGAATATGTGATCACATTCAGGCCTTACTGTCCTATATACATGGTAAGTAGCAATATTCACCTACGACAGATCCGCCCACTTTTGGCTCACTTTCGTGACAGACACGCCCATTTTTGAGGATTTTTATTAGACACACCCATTCTTGGGTCGCCTTTCTGGGAAATACGAATAACATCATATTCTTCATATTTCAGAGCTACGATTACGTGCCATGGCTAGCAGGCTGGCAGCACTATCAGATCTTCAACTTCTATGTGATGACGGTAAGTTGCTTCGTTTATTTAATAAATTTGCGCAGGCAGTTTTTTCCCGTAAAGATAAGTAGGATAATCTTATCTAAACTCTAAAGAAAGATATTTGCTTCTCAGGATGTTATTATAAAACCGCCCCTCCTTACTCATGGCGCGTCCATCATGTGACATTTTTTAAATTTAGGTACACGTATCGGAAGTAAAATTTAGCAAGCAACGCAAACATAATCAAAACAATTCTTTTCTCGAGAAACCAAAATTGGTTGAAAAAATGCTCCACGGCCCCTTTTCAGTCGCCAACGCCCACTTAACAAGTTGACGACAGTGCCGCGCAATGGTGCGCGGCAGGCAGTCTGCCCCTGTGGACGACGCCGCGCAATGCTGCGCGGCGGCCTTAAATTCAACTCTATCTGTCCACTCCTCTCAGTTTTTGTTTATATAATCAACATAGGCTCAGATGTACTTCATATACTAGCCCCGGCCCTTTTGGCAAACTCCGCCCACTCCTATGCTTCTCACAAGGACCCTTTTCGTCCATAAAAAGCATGGATGAGGCTGTAGATGAACGCAAAGACCTCAAGCAACTTTTAGCCAGGCCCCGCCCCCTAAGTGGCAAGCGCCGCCCACTTTTCAAAAGTGGCGGAAATCGCTTAAGTACTTGAAATATGGGCAATTCCCGACATTTTTGGTCGATTGGGCGGAGCTTGCCAGAGGGGGCGGGTCTTGCACATTTTGTACTTCGTGCATGAATGCACGCATACATACATGGGCCAGGCGTAGGGATGCATGGAAACGTCTCGTCCACAGGGACAGAACGCGGAAAAATGGCTCGTCGTCAACGTGTTAAGAATTCTATTTGTTAAATGTTTTGCAGTGATTGAAATTGTACAAGCAATTTTTTGCTTTACTATCAAAGTAGTTTTTTCTCGGCAAAAACTTTAAATTTTTTAATTTAAAGCTAAGAAGAGAGCAAACGCTCTTTCATAATTCAGATATACCCATTTTTTGGGATAAAGCTGATTTTCGAATTGTATTAAAGTGACTCAAATACAGTCACCTCTTTTTTCGCAAAACCAGGGCCACTCTTTTTGGTAGAAAACCAAATTTGTAAAAATTATTTCAACCAAAAGACGCTTATTTTGCATGGTGATCAAAATCACTTCATGACCCTATACACGCTACACTCAGTCTAATATTGAACTCGAATAAAGAAATTGTAGTTTTCAATGTAGATGCGGCGATTACTGAATCATCTTCGCTGTCATTTTCTCGCTTTTTGAGTTCTTGACATTTTTTAGACACATAATATCCCTTTCTTTAGGTCTTGCACGTTTTCGTTCCTTTCGCCATTCTGCTGATCTTGAATGTCTCCATCGTTATGCTGACGAAAAGAAAAATACATGGCGTCAGTTGGGCAGTCACAGCATTGGTTGGCATGCCAAAAGTTACAGAAATGATACGAAAAGGTTAGTTTTTGAGAAATTTCTTGCAAAAAAGAGTACTGAAGTCTGCAAATTTCTCAGAGACTATGCAAACGTCGAAAAAACGTCGTGATGATTTTCGTTACGCGACACGTACAATGGTTTCAATCACCACAACCTATCTTATCTGTTCATCGTTATCTTTATTCATTTCCGTTATGGAAAATGTCTTTCCAAAAAATACGCTACTTTTCAATGAGGATGGCAGCAGGTATTTTTTTTTCCCCTAAGTTACCCCAATATGGGTAAATTCACCTTCAGCACAACATTCTACACATTGGCAAGTGATGTTGTCAGCATTCTTGTAGCTGTAAACAGCTTACTGCGACTGTTCGTCTACATGGTGTGCAGTCCGAACTTCCGGTACGGAATTCTACAGAATTTGCTAGAAAATGATAAAATTGTGTGTTTTTCTTTGCAGAGATCAATTACGGGACGAGTTTCCCATGTTTAACTGCTGCTCAGGAAAAAAGAAGCTGGAAGAGAACGCTGAGAAATTTTCTTTCCAACAAACTTTGCTCGTGAGCAATCCAACCACAGTCTAAATTACACCAAATATAGTCCTTCAAAGTTGATCACTATTGATTCAGTAGTACATTACATTTCTGAAGTTGTATCTCCGCTCCGCCCCTTCGAGGACCAGTTCTCGTCCTTGTATAGCTCGTAGATTTTTGTTTTCAAATATTTTTATGTTCAAACGTGTTTTTCAAATTACAGTGCTTTGTAACTACTGCCTTTAACATATACAGTCAATATTGATTATTTAGAAGTAAATTCATGTATTTTTGCCACCCCAATAAATCGATTAATTAAAGTACTTCTGCGTTTGATTTTCGCCGAAAAAAGCTTTGATTTTAGTATTTATGCTCATACTGCGAAAGACGTGGAAATTATTGTTGAGATCGAAATCAAAATTTTGTCGGCAGGACGATCTGCAAAAATGATTACCAATTACAATACTTGTGAGGCGTACTTTTTTCCCTTTTCATTCTCATTTCTACGCTCGAGACGTTCCATGGCATCAGTAATAGTGAAATCTGAACAGAAAAGGTGAACAAAATCAAACAGCTCATCACATCAGTTGGATCTAGCAACTCACACTATTGCATGGACAATATAATATTACGACTGTACATGTTAATATTGAACCTAAAACCCTATGAAGTGGGACCCATGCTCCTTCTTTGCCAGCAAGGATCTCTGACATCTAGAAGCAAACCAGAGGTTTCACGAGGCCGGTTTACTGGGGTGATTGTTATACGCATAAGTGCGATAGGGGGAGCAGATCCCTTCCAGGTGAAGGGGTACCTCGTCGTATTTTCAACTGTCAAAAGTGAAGGGGGTATCTGAGCCTTACGATTGTTGACGCAAACTTACATGTCCTGAGGGGAGTGAAAAGAAGAAAAATAACTGCTACAAAGGTATAATATTAGGTTGTCCCAAAAATTTTGTCCGTTTTTTCGAACCATCATAAAAAGACACAATAAAGACCTGAATGAGTCCAACATGCATTCAATGCAGCTTTTCCTTCTCTTTTTCATATATACATTTTCCAACCACAATCTAGTATGTTTTTTTGGTATGCCAGAATATTCCACTCGTCAATTTTTTGCTCAAAGTTAGGCTAATTTTCAATTCATTCCAAAGTTTCGGAAAGGCTTAAGCATGGAACAAACAGAGCAGTTCCTACAAGGTAGTGTTTTTAGATTTTCCTGTTCTGCTGTTTTTAGGTTCAGAAAAATATTTTTTTGGAGATCTCGATTTTTGGCAAAGTCATGAAATGCGCAACTGTAGCAAATACACGAAAGCTTTTGAAGTTTCTGCGAATTGAAACGTGATACTTATTGAAACATCATTTATGCAACATAACCAAACTTTGATTCGCTTCGAGAAAGCAGCTTTTTGAAATTTTTGGCACTTTTGTTTGGTAATCAAAAGTCGCGGTTTTCATTAAGTTATGACGGACTTGGTAAACGCCGCTCATGTAATCTAAAATGAATACAATGTAGCCGAAGGTTTACTCTACATAACAGTTACCAGCGCTCTTTGAAAACATCAGAATAAAAAATTCTAAAATTAGGAAAGGTTTGGCGTTGCTGCTGAGCTGCTCAAAAAGCCATGGCGATAGCATTGCAAAGACAGGTTAGATCAGAGAGCAAATATAGCTGTAAGGAAGAGGATAAAAATCTGTAAGTGGTACCTAAGTCGTTCATGGATTGGTGTTCTGTGAGTTTTAGTGAGTGATGAAAAAAAGGGACAAAACTTTCGGGACAACCTAATATAATTCGAAAGCCTCAAAACAAGTAATCTAACTGCTCTTTTATTTGTTATTATTCTCTCTAGTGAGAGGTATGGTCGATTCTTATCAGTAAACATGCATCCATCTCTGGCTAGTCCAAATTTTCTGCTCTTGCTCAACTCTTTCTTGCGACAGTGGGTATTCATTGATACAATTGTTAATTATTCAAAGAATCAGACATCGTTTTAATTTTGATTATGTTTCTTATCAACGCCACTTTAAGTGCGCAGAAGGTCTCAAGCATGCGTTTTATTTTTCAACAAAACGTTGTTGCTTCGATACTCTCTTGCAGTCTTGATGCCTGGGGAAAAGAGCAGCTGGCGTTTCCTTTTCAAACAAAAAGTGCCGTTATAACAGATGTTTGATTCTACCGTTATCTCTTGATTCTAGTCTACTAACCTCAGGTGAAAGGGGTCCCCCAGATGCCGGTCCCAAAGTGACAGAGGAATTTCTCCACCTATCGCGCTATGGTTCTGCGACGATAACATCATTTATTCCATAAATATGCGGTGAAAATATCCTATTTTGAAGCTATTACGTGGGGTAAAATAATCACTGAAGTTGGGATTACTTGTTCACTTAAACGTAGTCCATGTTAATTGTTATTAGCATCTGTTGAAAATCGGCGACTTAACTTTGTGACCATAGCAGTTGATCGAGGTGAGTTGCATTCGGGACCCAGCGCGTGCACCTTCTAAGCTTTTCATATACGAATTTCACTTCGATTTTCTACGGAGTCACCACAGTATACGCCCATTTCCTTCGCTTATCCGATGTTTTTGATTGGAAAATAGCCTGGGAAGAAAAACTGAACTACATATTTTTGAGAAGCGAAAAATGAGGTCTGAATGAAGAATAACTAAGCTTCAAACGGTTATATTCAATGTTACCGCAAACAAACTGAGGGCCTCAACGTTACTGTCGCAGATTGGCCACAATTCCAGATGTGAATAGAGCTCACCTGTATCGGGGTGCAGGAGCTGGGGTCCACTTGTGAGAGGACTTGTAAAGATACTTGTGAATAGTAATACCGATCTAACAACCCACCTACGCAAGAGACATGTCCTTCTCTACTTTTTTCTGCAGAAACCAGTTAAGCCAGCAACAGTGTATTTCCCATTTTTATTCACGTTCTTGGCGCACCTGTGAGTGCGTGAATAAATAAATAAATAAATAAATAAATAAATAAATAAATAAATAAACAGTAGCTGCTTTTGCGTGAGCGCTAAATTGCTTGCCATGATGTACAGTCATACACACTTGGAGGCCCTATGCACCGACTTAACAACCCTGATTAATCTGCATGTACACATGCACTATTGGCACCTGTGCTGACTACAATTTAGGCACTACTTAGGATCGTGCGTCTTCTCACATTGAACTTCAAAAACAATGATTAAAATGAACACTACTGGAGCCGCGGCTAAACCTATTTTTTACCGCATCAATCAATAACACCAACATTTTTGCTCACCATTCATCCTTTAATGAATCCACTGGACTCACATTGAGTTGGGTGCAACCAACTTCGAATCTTATGACCAGCAAAATAGAAACCTCCTGATGACGTTGTCAGGCCCAGCTTTGAGTTGTTTCGTACTTCAATCACTGCAGCAACGGCAGTCAATCGATCGATATCTTTTGCCCGCGCCGATTTGACAGTATGAAACAACCCTTAGGTTTCTTCAAGCGCTACGAGGCCATTCCTTGTCGGTGTGATTCTTCTCAGCGCGGGTAATGGTACTAGAGGCGCTTCTTGACCATGGATGGATTGGACCCGACCGTTCGCTAATAGACACGTATGACAAAGCTTTGGCTTGGATTAAAACGCTTTGAATTCAAAAATTGTTTCAGCGATTATAAGACACATCGTTCTTGTTCAATATTTATGCCTATTTTTTGCAGTTCGTTTTGAAATGCTGTTTTATCTCATCAACGCTAATGGTGGAGCTTTGCGAAAAGATACAAATAAAAACTTGTCCTCCGTAACGAGCTGATGGATCTTCAATAAGTGAGTAGAAAGTATGACATCCGTAGTGGCGCAAAAGCACTATCCCCTGAAATGCATCCATACGTGATGTGTAGAAGTTTGATCGTAACACCATTATTGAAGGCCATTTCTACCTCAATTTGTTATCAAGGCGAATTATGTGACAAAAAAATTTGAGTTATAAGCTTTATATGAATTCACCAAACGCTGTCAAATGCTCTTCAAAAGCTATTTATATCGTACCATCAACAGCCAAATGGCGGAGTTGACCTTATATTTGTCATGGCAAGTTAATTTTCTAACAAAATGAGTCAAACAAAACATCTGCCCACCAGTCCAAACCGCCTGTAAAGGCGTAAAAGGATTTTCGAAGCCTCGTTTTCAGCAGTAACATTTCTGAAAATTCTGTGCCTTGTTTCAGTAACAACAAAGATAGAACATACCGACGTCTGTCAATTAGAACAACTGCTCCAATGTTGCTAGTCCAAATGCATTTTTTCGAATAACTTGCTATTAAGGTAAGTTCGGTCGCAAGCTTCTCGAGCTCACCTTTCTTCACCTGAAAGATGGAAGGTTCATATGTGAAACTGACTTTCATCCTATTTCCTCTTGAGAAATGATGATTCAGACAATCTCTCAAGAGTGCCCCCTTTGAGTCTTATGTAGTAAGCTGGTATGGAAAATGCTTGTTATTTTTACATTATGACGCCATAACAAGTCGAAATCTACAAATGTGTCAGCTGTCCCGAAAGTATTACCTTTTTTTCAAACGACCATAAAACCACGCACAATGATGAACCCAATGAGCTTCAGCATGCATTTGATGCAGCTTTTCCTTCTCTTTCTTATGAATACATTTTCGAACCACAGTCTTGTATGCTTTTTTGGTAATCGCCAAGATTCTCCACCCGTCAGTTTTATCCGCTCAAAGTGTGCGGCTAATTCTTAGAAACTGTATTCCAACGTTTTGGAAATGATTGAGTAGGATGCAAATAGAATAAATCCTGGACTATATGGTGGCATTTTAGAATCTCTTAACCTGCTTTCAGCTTTGAAAATCGAAGTTCCCGATTTTGGCAAAGTCATGATACATGAAGCTGCAGCAAAAACATGGAAGCAGAGTATCTGCAAATCAAAATTTGATTGTTATAAAGCATTATCTGTGCAACATCCAAGTTTGATTTGCTTTCAAGAATCAGCTTTTTGGAATGTGCGGTACTTACGTAGTGATCGTGAACAAAAAGCCGCGGTTTTTCTCAAATAAATGATCATTACGGACGTGATAAACGTGGTCATGTAGTCTAGAACAAATTTAATGTAGTCAAAGGTTTGTCCTACATAACAGCTACCAGTGCTCTTTGAAAATGTTGAAATAAAAATTTCCAAAATTCAGAGAATGACTGAAAAGCTGACTGTTGAGCTGCTAGAAAAGCCATGGCGATAACACCGCAAAAACATCATAAGTCAGAAAGCAAATATAAAGTTAGGAAAAAGGATAAAAATCTGAATCCAACGGTACCTGATCCATGGACTGCTGTTCTGCGAGTTCAAGTGATCGACGAAAAAACCGATAAAACATTCGGAACAACCTAACATTAAGATTCGCTCGTCATTCGCTAAAACGAATGCCGAGCGGAGAGTCAAGAGAGGGCGTTTATATTATTGTAACTTATGTCAATGAAGGCGAAAATGATGCCAATAAATAGACCTTATTCCTTTCCCATATATTCAAACATGAGAACTGATCTTTGTCTTTATTTGATACACACAAACAATAGACTAATTCAGGGCCTAGCACCAGCTGGCAGTAGGCAAGCTGGATATCGTGTATGAGACAAAAAAATAAAGGGGTATCGTTTTTGTGGGCGGAAATGGCGATTTTTCGTTCTTTTTAGGATTTTTTACGTTTAGGTTTAGAATCAAAGGCAACTTCGTAAAACTTAGCGAAAGTTAAGGGGGAGGGGGGGGGCTTCGTTTTGAAAATCTCTGGTGCCCACTTGCGCCTAGCCATGGACTATTCTATCATCTTCAGCCGGCTAACCAGTTTAACAATTATGTATCCACTGCCTCATGTGATGGAAAAGAGAAAAATTCATAAAACCTAACAATATAGAATTTGGGAGGAGAGCCCAGCTTTGCTTTGAAAAATTGTAATTTTCGATTTCTCAGTTTTAAGCGAATAATTAATGCGAGACGTACAAAAGGTAAGCAAGCGTAAGATTCATAGGACTTTTCAGAGCAAGGATCCGACTTTCAAATTCTACATATTCAAAAGCTTTTCTGGATTGATTCTTGCACAAGTTATAATGCCTTATAGTGCTTACTTCGCTCTATCACGTTTCTTAAATTGTAAGCCTAACCTGCCAGGGCAGCGTATAAAATCTGCAATGATTATCAACCTATTAGATTCATGCAATCCATGTTTTCGCCGAAAACAGGTCTAGAGAAAAGATCACTGCGAACAAAATAACCTCTCAACCTGATACGTGGTTGACAAAACATCCGCTAATAACTCGACGCATGCGCATCTACAAATCACTTGTTCTCATCAGGAAAATGACAGAAAAATAAGCTACTTTCAAAAATGTTATTCTATAAAACAATAACGCTACATCAACAGTTGCAACACAAGTTAGTATAGTTAGTAAAAAGCATATCAAAATCAAGCTCCTTAATCCTTCAAAAGATCAAACTCACCAGATCCTGTCCAAAATGTTTAAGATACTTCGCTTCCATCTTTTCCTCTAGTTGATTGAGAGAGTTGATGTATGTCTTTACAAATGCACAAAGATGTAGGCATAGCACCTAAGTATACGAGTAGGTGAACAGTAGAAAACAAAGCACGACTCACAGCAAAAATAACGTGCTGTTGCATTTGCAGTTTCAGTCGTATGTAGGCGCTATTCACAAAATTCAATGGTAAGCCGCTTCATCACAAAGACAATTTGTGCTTGTGTTATCTTCGATATTTGTAAGTGCGATTGAGCTCTCCAAAAACAAGTGATGCGTTGTTCAGGACTAAAAAGTGCATTTTGCATGCATCTATTTCTACATGTTCAGAACCGCCTGACTCTAATCTTCTGCACGTTTATAAAAGCATCATTTTAGGGGCGGAGTTGTTCTATTATAGCTGCAACAGCGAATGCAATGGAACAAAACAGCATTACTCACTGACAGTTTATTTTAAGACATGGAACAACAGTGCACTACTACTGAAAAACTGCTAAAACTACATTACTAGAAAGACTCAAAGGGAAGATAGCCTCTACCGATGGTGCGTGTGGCGGCTCCGTGGGCTCCAAGCACCTGTATTTACCGAGATACCTGTGTGCTCGCCCGCTTATAACATACGACGCGACTTATCTACCACTGTGCCCTAGTGCATAAGAAATCAAAGTTAAATTACTAACAGTTTATCCTAATGACATCAAATGACAGAAATACTACAATACTAGAAAATACTATAGCTAAACTGAAAAATGAAAGAAAAACCAACACGGACAGGTGGTCGTCCCATCCTACCAATGGTGCGCATAAATAACATCTGAACATAACATGGTGCTACCGAGGCTTCACCAATACACATCCGCCAAGGGTCGCCGGATAGCAGGCGCGATGGTCTCTCCGCTCCCAAAGTTTGTAAGATCTCAATATTCTGAATCTCAAAAGCTCTGAATCTATCTCAAATCTCAAAAGCTTCAAAAGTGGCCTGTCCAAAACAATTCCAAGTCCGACTTGAACTCCCATTCGATGTAACTTCCGATCCGCTCGACCGCTAAAGCGAAAGAGATATCAAAGGCGGGATCTAAATTGCCAGGCGCGAGCACGATAGAAAACGCGAGAAAAGATTATCGATCGAAAATAGAGCGAAAGCAGACGCTGAAATGAGGCGCCGCCACTATACATATCCGCTTAGCTGGCAACGTGCCAAAGAGGAGAGGTCCGGAGGCGATTGCGGCAAGCGTGAGAAACTACCATCCTCGCCGGATAGCGCGGCAGCAACCAGTGCTCCCGGCCTCCCACTTCTAGAAGCGCTCGCATCGCCGAGCCGCGACAGTGCGCGTCTATATAAATACTAACAAGGAAGAATACTTAGTCGAAGTGGCGCTTCCATATGAAATGTTTACTATCTTATGAAGCATTAAACGCTGATTCCAAGTCTGCTTTCATTATCTCAAAGTATCTGGGAGGGAAGTTATGGAAGTTTTTTGAAGCAAAAACTTTAAAGCGCAGGAATTCAGAACTGTAGCTTGAGAGCTCACTTGTGGTTATGATTACCATAGCGCTATATGCAGTTATATGCTATATCCAGCTCCTTCAGTCTAACAAACTTACCAAAAAGATCCCAACTCTTGTTTTCACCTTAGACAATTCTTGAAATATTGCCTTAGAAGATTCTCATAACTCCTCTTCCAAAAGTGCTTTGCAGACATGGAAAGCAAATTTGGAATCAGCCTTTCATGTTTTGTACGATAGTTTAAATTTTGTCGTAAACCCCCCGACCAAGTGTCCTTCTCTTGTAAGATGTTTGCTCCCAAGGCTCCACCCATACAGCTCCACCACACGTCGCCAAAGAGGACACAGCAAGAAAGCCCTCCGCTCCCAAGGTTCTTTAGGCATTAATAATTCCGAATACGAAACGCCACAATCTCAGAGCGCTCGCACCACGAGTTTCAATGTTTTAATTTTTCGCATTTTCCTCTCTCTGCAAAATGTGTTCAAAAGAACGGACATTTTTAAAACTAAAAAATTCGTCTAAACAAATCATTTAGGTAGAAAGAGTCTGATTTTTAGAGATGTTGCTACCCTGGTTTTGAACCAAATTAAAAGCACCGTCCAACAATATTCTCAAACTTCCAGTTTTTGACAATTCAGGGCTTTCTTATGTCCCTACTCAGACAATCGATCGGACCCCTCCGCCGGACAGTCGAAATCTGCCAGAGTCGCGCCGGACCCAGTTGACCTATGAGAGCGGGGCGATTGGGCGGTCCCTTCTTGCAGGTCGCGGTGACATCACTGGCAGGCGAGTGGGACCCTTCTCCGGCCCTGCTGCAAAGGTACGCCATTTCTGCTCCGGAGGTACGCCAGATTTGGCAGAGCCGCGCCGGAGAAATTTGCCCGCCGCGAGTCCGCCAGATTTGGAAGAGCCGCGGAGCAGAAAATCGGAGGGGTCCGGAGCACAAATGGGAGGTCTCCGGAGCACAAATGGGAGGGCTCCGGAGCAGAAAATGGGACACTTCCGGAGCAGAAAATGGCAGGGCCCCGGAGCACAAATGGGAGGGCCCCGGAGCACAAATGGGAGGGCCCCGGAGCACAAATGGGAGGGCTCCGGAGCAGGCTGCGTATCGATTTGGCGCGTAGCCAAGCAAACGTCTAACTCCACGGTGATGAGTCCTCTGTTTACGCTCTTTCTTCGTATTTTAGTCGTTGTTTCTTTGATTTTGTTGTTTCTCCGCGTTTCTTTACCGTTTTTTCTTTTACGCGTTGCCCTTTGTCGCGTTGGCTTTTATGTTGTTGTAAGTTCCTCTTCAGGTTTATGTTTCAGATTTTCGTGCGGATGCACTTAGTCACTTCTAGTGCTTGGCTCTTTTCGACTTGCTGAGACATCGTTGACTATTGACGGAGTGGTTTTTGTGATTAATTCTGGATTTTCGAAACAAAAAGTATATAATTCGAGTGAGTCTACTTTTTTTCGTTTCGCACTTGTTCATGCTTGAGCTCCACGGCGGATTGCCTGTTCAAGTGTGTACTGTCTGCGCCCCAGAGAGGTTCCCATGTGAACCAGCGTGCGTACGTGCTGCGACGCTGCCTTTCGCTCTTTTTGACACGTTTCTCCTGAGATTTCATCGGAATTGCCCGAGGTTAACACGTTCAAAAGTGCGAAAGGCAGCGAGATGACGTGGTACCTATGGGAATCTTGCTGGGGAACAAACGATATGTGCGCTCAGAGTCGGCGTCATTCATTACCTAATCTGCTACGTATCTTCCAAGATTCATGGTAAACGTGTAGACTTTTTAAGATGACAAAAACAACAGCTCGATGCTACAATATCTTCGATAGAAAACTCAGCAAAGAGTGAGCCGTTCTTTGTATTGTTCAAGCGGTGTATCAGAACTACTACATGCGATTTTATTGACAGTGGCTGTAGCATCATGGTACTATCCCTCAACTTGTGTGCATACTTTCGATAACTTTACTGTTAATGTGCTTTTTTGGCAGAATCAGTATTATTCTCTTCCTAGTTTTTTGGTCATCAAAGTCATGAGGGGATGATTTAGTCAGTTTTACCAATTTCTGAAGGCGATTTGTTTTGATGCTATCTGGCCGTTTGTTGCAGGGCTGCAAAAATATAGCAGCTACTTTGAGTAAAGAAAAATTGGTTTGATACATTCGCTTTATGACAAAACAAACAAGCATGGACATACAAAAAAACTAGCGATTCAGAGGCACTGTAGAGTTGGTCGAGCGTCAGCTGTTCGTGGAGGGGTTCGCAGAAGATTCTGATACTGCTGTGCGACTGATAGCTCCAAGAGGTAAGGTTGGCTTTCATCATTTAGTTGCTTTTCTTCAGTGCGCAAATTGTGTGTAAGTTCAGTGTGCAAAATCTGAGTACCTGGGCTCAAAATTTGAGGCGGAGTCCGTTGCGTGCGGTAATTCACCTGATCTTTTTATTCACTATTTCCCCTCAACTCGCTATTTTTTGAGCGGAGCGCTGGCAATAGTTTGGAGTTGAATTTTTTGTCCATAATAAATCAGGGAATTGTTCCAGGCTCTGGTATCCAAGGCTTCTCACAGTTATCCCCACAGTGACCTCAGTCCTCTTTCTTAACCGCTACTAGCAGTTCTCTGTAGTGGGAAGTTTGCGTTGATTGATTGGCACTTGGTCTTTGACCGTACTTTACCCGTTACCGGTGTTACAAGTGTTAATCATGTTACTCGTGTTACTCGTGTTACTGTTAACCGTGTTACTAATGTTACTGGTATTACTCGTGTTGCTCACCAGTCAGTGATATTGCATTTTGAAATGAGACTGTATTGTAATCATTTCACTATTCAACAGCATAAAAGCGGTAACACTAGTAACACCAGTAACACGAGTAAGGCTTTGGCCATACTTTGCCAGTGTTGCCGGTGTTGAAAGTGTTGCCGGTGTTGAAAGTGTTGAAAGTGTTTCCGGTGTTGAAAGTGTTGGAAGTGTTGCCAGTGTTGAAAGTGTTGAAAGTGTTGCCGGTGTTGAAAGTGTTGAACGGAGATTATCAGTCTAGCAGTTTCATTCTTTCTCGAACGATCTCAGCGGCTGGTGAATACGTTGGAAATGGAATTGGGGAATGAGAAATGAAATTGAAATGAGATGGGGAAGATTTTCGCATGCAAAAGATCCTCAAACAAACTTTTTGGAAAGTGGATGGCTTGTCTGGCATAGGCAATCTCCAATATTTGAAAACGCTGCAGACCTCACTTAGATCCTTCACTCACTAATCGCAAGCGCGGCAGGATTCGGACTAAAACACGTTACTACACAGACTTCAGCTTTTTCAAATATTGGAGATTGCCTATTCCAGACAAGCCGTCCACTTTCCAAAAAGTTTGTTTGAGGATCTTTTCCATGCAAAAATCTCCCCCATCTCATTTCAATATCATTTCTCATTCCCCAATTCCATTTCCAACGTATTCACCAGCCGGTGAGATCGTACGAGAAAGAATGAAACTGCTAGACTGATGATCTCTGTTCAACACTTTCAACACCAGCAACACTTTCAACACTTTCAACACCGGTAACACTTTCAACACTTTCAACACTTTCAACACCGGCAACACTTTCAACACCGGCAACACGGGCGAAGTATGGCCAAAGCCTAACACTGATAACACGGATAAAGTATGGCCAAACCCTTACCTAGCTTCATAGTACTCTGATGCTTCATCTGTTTTCCTGCTCTCTGTAAGATGTACCAGCCTTGATCACCCGCACGTTCGCATCAAAACGCTTCCTTTTGTCAAACCATTCTTGAATTTGTAGGCGAACTCTTCGACGATTCCGATACAAGGATTTGGCAAATAGACCATCTCGACATTCGATCTCAATATGTGAGCGTTCAGAACATTTGAGTAATCAAAATAATCTGTTAAAAGGTAGGCTGCGAAGTTGGTTGTGCGTGTCATTTTTGACCGGTCTGGAACAAGGCGTCTTCTTGTGCCTATTCTTTTTCCCGTGAGGGTTATCTAGTCGAGAAGACGTTCATTAAGATTCCCGAAGTTTTTGGATGATTTTTTGTCGTTTAAAGCGTCACTATATACAATTTTGAAGTTCTTGTAGTCGGTTGAATTTGCAGAGGCCCTGTAGTTGTCTGTTCTTGCAGATGAGCGGAGGAATACTTGACGATGTTCACGTCATCATCACATTTTTTGCAGGGTTTTTGATTGCCATCACCAAACCTGAGTTCGCCCACAACTAACAAGTGAAAATCTCAAGGTTAACTCTTTGTAATACTCTTTCGGGCAGGACTTACTCTGTTAACTAATTCTTGCGCATTCAATCAAGACCGTTGGCACTAATGGAAAAATTTGTTGCTTCTCACCTCCAATGTTCCTCTATGTTAGGTTGCTGGTATGCTAGTGGCTCCCTTCCTAGTGTCAGCCTTTTCAACTGATTCATCGGATGTGGGCAAGACAGTGCTAGAAATTGGATTGGGTGGCGGAAGTTTTGATATGTTTTTACATAAGCTCAAACCAAAGGCGAGTGGACTAGAGCTCTCATCCTTGCTGTTTGTGCCTCTCATTGTGTATTTGGAAACCCATTTTTCTCATAAGATCGCGTCATAATCGTGTCATCATTCTTCATACTTTAGGTTAACATAACTGCTATTGAGTTAGATTCAGTTGTTGTTGAAACAGCAAAGAAATGGTTTGGCGTTATTGAAGAAGAAAATCACCATGTGATTGTACAAGATGGTCTCGAGTACTTGAAAGAAGCAAAGCAAAGCAAACGTGGTACGAGCGGTAGACTTTCATGTTTCTGTGAAATGAAAGTTTTTGCATTTAGGGGAGAGATCTGATGTCATAGCCTTGGATGCATGTGATGAAGCCATTAGATCGCCGTGCCCTGCTAAAGTATTTCGGGATGTGGAAGTGATCGAGAGGCTCAGAAATGCTCTTACCCCTACATATCAATCATCAAGCTTTGCACATTCTCTCAATCGCAAAATAATACCATAAAATGTTGCAATTCGCAGGAGATTCTTTGTTGTTAATTTGAAATAAATGCCTTGTTTCCTCATTCTTCTATCTTCTATCCACAAACGCTAGGGGTGAGAGGGAGGGGGTAGAGTACGGGGTGAGGGTCGCGCTGAACTCCTACCCGGGGGGGGGGGGGTCCTATTCGGCTAATTTGGGTGGGTTTAGAGACAAAATTGGGGTTTGGAGCTTAATTAGGGCTAATTACAGTATGCCGCGGCAGACTTGCGGAGCGCAAAATCGGGGGGCTCCGGCGCACAAAATCGGGGGGCTCTGGCGCACGAGTGGCAGACCCACCGCTGGGTAAACCCCGCGGCCCTGCCATTTCTCCGCCGGAGGGGTCCGATCCGCTGTCTGAGTAATTCCGAATATAAAGCCGAAAATCCACAAAAACCTCGACAATCCCCGTTCCGGAGAACCCACAGGCCAGCTTTCCGGAACGGTGATTGGATGGGCGCGCACGATGAGCGGAACATGGATGGGGAGAGCGGTTTGTCTGAGGGTCCTTGCGCATCTTCGTTATTCCGGGGCAATCTTCTCGCTTCCGAAGGAAGATTTTGCGCCGCGACTTGGGCATTGGCTTGATAAGGGGCCCTGCTATCATATGCTGCCAAAAGCTCAAGACCCTCATTATATGCTTCACTAGCTCATATCGGATAGTTTTACAAGAGTATTTTGAGCCTGGTTTGTCTTTATTTCTCTAAGCGATATTGCTGAAGCACTAACTGCAAGCGAAAAACGCAACAGATTTTGGCACTGCTTCTAATACTATATTTAATTTCCCTCGGTTATGCTTACGGTAGGCATACGTGATAGGTCAAAGGAGGAGTTGTACTTGGCAATGTGTTGCATTGAAAGCAGCGTCCAGGCAGGCAAATCTGCACATAGGGGGATGGGATTTCAGTGAACCGTAATTTGGGATCCTAACTAAGACACTGCCCAACCGCCGGCAGCTCAAATCGTGCTCTAACGGCTGTGATATTCGTCTCCAAACTAAACCCCAGGTTCGTATTTCGCATGGATTCATGGCGCGACATATCAGTCTCGCGTGAGTCCTCGCGCGAAAGCATGCAAACACGATGCAAGTCGTCCGATAACACGATCGATCCTGGAGTCCAGTTTGAAGGCGTATATCTCAGCCGTTAGTGAGTCCTTTACGCTGCCGATGAGGCCATGCCTTAGTTAGGGTCCAAAATTACTTTCCACGTAAACTCCCATATAGATTTGCCAGGACGCTGCCTTTAACTCAAGCAGTCGAACTACACTAAAACATTATTAATTTTGTCGATAGAAAAAGGACGAGAAAGAAAACATGTGTAGCAATAGTGTTGAATTGGTAAGGTGAAGTTTTAAGGTTAGACATTGATGTGAAACGGTTTCAAAAAATGGAGAATAATCAAGGAATTGGAATCAGTAGGTAAGTATGACTGTAGAAGAAATCAAATCATAAAAACATCAAGTTACTGATGTACAAAATAATATTCTGGTCTGAAGACTGCACGTTTACTAGCGGCCCTAGAGTGTGATACGATGATCAAATAATTATAGAACCTCTGAATAGTCAACTTCAAAAAATCCTCTGATGGTTATCCCCTGCAATTTTCAAAATGTTTAGGCACTACGTCCTCATAAACTCAGACTAATATAATTCTTATGCAGAGCACTGATAGTAGAAAACTGCTACGGAAAGCAGAAGGCGTTCAACAAAAAGACCACTTCCTTTCATAGCCAGCTGCACCAGAAATTCTAAGAAATCGAAATCGTCACATTTTTGAGGTGCAAACAGTCAAAATTGCTTCATTCAAATGTTCGAGTGGGTGTGTTGGAAGGCTTAATATGCTTTCATAAAATGCACTCCAAAATCAAATATGCAATAAATTGAATCTTTGTCAGTCAGCTGTTGTCAATGCGCTAATACCAAATCATTAACCATTTACATAATGACGAGCTACATTTGGTTTACATTATTTTCATATGAAATAATAGCATTAGAGCGAATGACTGCTTAGAAGAGTTTGAACAAAGTGCACTGCGATGACGTAGCCTAGTGAGCCGCTCGGTTTGATCATCTCGCGCAGTATAAATGCGGGTGAATAGAGCAAAATTTAAAATGAATCACTGGTGTTTCATGCTTTGCGTAAGTAATTTCGATTTTTATACTCAAGTATTAGGTTGGTGCAAAAGTAATGCGCGTTTTTCTAGCCCTTGGTTTAGGACAACTTTTCTCCACCAAACTTTCTTAATTAAAAACAACGTAGCACACTTTCAAGAAGCTCCTTTCATTCTCTATCGAATGATGGTTAATACGGGTTTCTAGCTTCATTAGTTAAAAAATAAGAGAGCTTCACACAGCCGCACTCAAAATCAGAATTTCATTGCATTTACTTCTCTGGCCAGAAATCAAGCTCGAATAAAAGCAAACTTTTGAAACTTTAGCTAATATATTCAATGGAAATTGTCTACATTATGCACATTTTACTATTTTCTCAGAAATTATCTAGGCTAAAATTTCGGCTCCTCAACATGGGCAATCGTTTTGATCATTCTGTGATCCATAAATTTCCTTTGAAGAGGGCAATTACCAAACCTTTGCTTATTTCTGTAAGCGTAAGGGTGGGCCTCCTATTGGCAGTTTTTACAGAATTGTGTATCTGTCGTTACGCAGAAATCCAAAAAAATTCCCTATTTTGGGGTTTTTACGCCTGCGAAAAAATGTCCAAAAAAGCGGGCAATTTTGGTTTCGAATTTTTTTCCTTTTCGCAAATTCTCTCTGTTTGACCCTTTTTCACTTTTTTTGTACTACAGGCTTCTGGCTACAACATAGGCTACTTGTTATCTATATTGACATATTCTGAAAAAAGCTATGATCAGTTAAATTTGAAGTTTCAGAAAAGGACTTTTTCTGCTTATCAGTTCATATTTTTCTGCCCGTTGGAGATATGAGTATATGGAGATGTGCGCTGTATTGAGAAAGGTTTGGTGCCTCTGATGTTTTTTATCGCACTGGAAAATGTATATTCTTTGGAAAGTTATAACTCGTCAAAATGAGAACTCGCGAAACGCGCATTACTTTTGCACCAACCTAATAATTGTTCACTTTTCAGTTCGCAGCTGCAGCCGCTGCAACAGATGAGGAGGACTGCACGACATTTGAAGACGGTCTTGATACGACAGAAAGAAAAAATCTAACAAGGGCGCTTCATGTGGTGAATGCAAAAGTTAGTCTTATGTACTAAAACTAAAAATTACATGGTAATTATAATTTTGAATCACATACCTCTGTCTTTTCAGTACGACTGCGAGTTAGCGCGCTATGCCTTTGCCGACCTCTTCGATGCTAGTAATAATGGCACTACTGAAGATGTGGAAGAGATTAAGAAAGAGGCAGTAAAACTCGAAATGTTTGACCTCGATTACATCCATTTAGAGCGCGAAGTCAAAGTCTTCAAAATGTTGGTTTACTCATTGATGGTTAGGGGTACCGTGCATCTTGTAATGTATATTTCAGTGGTGCTATAACGAGATTCGAAGAGCAGTTTAGTAACGCGGACGCAGGGAAATCTGTTGGGTGCTCTCATCTTCAGACTAATAGAGAACTATACTTATGTGTCTTGGAGAGCGACAATTCGGAATTGGAAGTCGCTCTTTAAAAATGTTGAATTAAACTCGTCTTTGATATAATTTATTGAACTCAACCAGCTACTACGATTTCCCATAATTTTGTACCGTTTTTACTACAACCGTCGTCTTTTTGTACCCTTCCTTCAACTGATGTGGCTTGAGTAACTGTTCGACAGGGCAAGCAAGCTCAACAAGATGGCTATTAGGTCTGCCCAAATCGTATTTCCACATGAAGTTTTGAGCTGAAATGTGATTAGCAGTCAAAACCAAACTTTAACTCAAAAATCAAGTCTCCGCCCCAAAAAACCTCAAAAATACCCCGTTTAACCAAGCATTTGTTTAACACATCGGACATTAAATTATACGCTTCCAGTATTTCTCATAGCTAGAAATAAAGAAAAAATGAGTGGATTAAACAGGCGAACTCCGCCCCCAGAAGTCCTGAGCACCTCCCACTCACATGACCATACAGCTCATACATACAGAAGTGTGATCATGTATTTGTACTAAATCATAGAACCGCGAGTAGACAACATGCTTCTTCCCGTGGAAAAAGAGTTAACAATAGGATGAAAGCAACTAACTCTATCTTTTCGCGAGATTTTCAAAACTTTTAGGTTACGGGAATAAATTCCTGCTTCTATCGATCGAAAAAAATCGTTTCAATTTGAGTTGAAATCCGGAAGGTGTATCAATCAATATTACCCGTGGCATTTTCAATCTCCTCCTTACCGTAACCATTCCCCCCTCCTCCCCTCCCTCGCAACAGCAAGGTGTTAGCGTGTGTCTAGCCGTTCAGCTTACTCATCTGAACGGATGGCGTACGCGCCTCTCAGCTAATCCCTTAATGACTTTGACGGCTTGCTTTTAGTGACGCAGTTCATCCCCTGCCGCTGTTGCCACTTATCACGGTCAATTGTTCAACAATTGCCGACAACAATGGATGCCTGTTTATGGTATGAAAACAATGAATGGAAGTGACGCTCGACTGGAGATGATGTATGCAAAAAATTGCGTAAAATTTATAATAAGGGAATGTATGTTGGTAGCTTTCGCACAAGTAAAAAGTTGCTCTTCATTTCTGAGTTCACTTGATTATTTAATGAAAAAATGACGTAAAAAATAGGCCATAAGTGCCACACTGCGCTCAAAGGATTTGACGTGTACAAGCAGGTAGAGATCAAGCTCGTATTCTCGACCAGTACCGTAATCAAATGCACCGGTTGATCCGATTGGGCTACGGTAGTGAGTGAGAATATAATGAATTTCTCGACCCGTTTTGTCTGCGAGATGGCATAAAACGACATTAAGAGATTACTTTACAGCATTCATATTTAGGTGAATCAAAAAAAAGAGGAATTAAGGTTTGTAAAGACTGCGTGAGAACATACTGAGACATTAAGTTACTTCGAAATGGAAGAAGAGAGAAAGGTTTAAGAAATTTTCTAATCCAAATCTGTGAATTTGACGCCTACAGTAATCGAATTAAAAAAAAGTAAAAAATGATTATAGGATGCACTTCACAACCGAACACAAATTTAGGCCCAAACTTTGTGACCTCTCCTAAACGAAAGAATTTTCCCAGGCAAAAATTTCAGGATTTATTCAAGGCCAAATAAGTCAGCTTTGACCTATCGCCCATTACCGTAATCTTGGATGCTGATAGGTCTTTTAGGAGGAATTACGGCACTGGGTGAAATTGAGATGAATTTCTTGACAACACAATTTTTTCTGTACAAAAAAGTAACAGTTATAAAAGTTAGTTTTTCTAAAGATTGTTTCGCAGCACTGATCCACATTTCTGGTCGATATTGAAAAATCCTCTAAAAACTTACCTTTGAGCTTTTGCCCGATACCGTAACCTTGTCCACTGATTGGTCGGTATACTACGAGTACGTTACTGGGGGGAAATTCGAAATGAGTGACCACGATAGCTTTAACTGCACAACATCGCATCTGAGGTGATTTGAGAGATTATTTTACAGCACTTTGACATTTTCGATTAAATTGAGGAAAACTTCACAAAAAATAACGGGCCAGCTTTTTTCGATTTCGTCCCCCCCCCTACTTCGCTAATTCCATATTGCACCTACAAATGATAGGTTGAACGTATGGAAACAGACCTGGTGAGAATCTATTCAGCATCAAGGTGAGAAGTACCGGCTATGCGGTAATTATCGAAACGTGTGACCTTACCGGAGACTCCCGCAGGGAGAACTTTCACCCAAGAAAACGACTCAACACACGTAATCCTCTGAGTAAACATCGCAACCGTTTGTAGCGCAGCGCACATAAAAGCCAAGCCGATCCGTAATTGCACAATGAGAGTAATTGACAGTGTGGCGGTACCATTACCAAAGTGACGATTAGGCGATTGAAAATGCTTTTCTATATAAAGAAGTTTTTGCAGAAAATGTAAGAACATTTTGCGTCTATGTTGATATTTTTCAAAAATTTTACTGATCTATCCACCAATTTGCTTAATTATCTACTTCAACAAGAGGGCTACTGATATCGAGAACAATATTTAAACTGTAAATTCACAAAGTAATTTTATAAATTATAACAACATATCTAAAGTATGACATTGAGAAATTGATTTAGAAAAATTTGAAAAAATACTATAAGCAGAAAGGCCCGAGTAGATCTGCATAATCTCCGTTTCACAAACACTTTTTAGTCGAACGATACACTTCTACCTGTTAGTGGTATCGTCGATGTGCTAAATTACTATTAGATTCAGCATCGTTTTTTAGCACTTTTTGAATAAAAATTAAAGATGATGAAAACACTAGGGTGATATTAAGTGACTAATAAAGAAAAAACAACGTTGAATTACATTTGGAATCAAAATTCTGGGTCTCCCTGTCTTTTTGCTAGTAAAGTATTACTGTCAGCGAAAATGTGAAAATACTCCAAGGATATTCCTTTTTACAAAATCAATAAAGTGAAACTAGTGGTTTTTTTGGCGTAAAAATTGCTGATAAAACACTTACGATTGGAAAGCCAGAGAATTGCGTTTTGACTGAGAACGAAGGCTCGCTAGTCTTTATCAGTCCCTCAGATTTAGAGGAAGCTAGCCCAAAAATTAGAAAATACAGGTATAGTTATTTATACTTTGTTAACCGTCCAATCCCACTGCTCATATAAAAACTCTCAATTTGATAACATACTCGAATAACTGGAAACAAAGCGACAGATGTTTTACTGCTGTCCGGACTACTTCCACTACTAACTACCCTAACCTTATCGAAAGTTTCATCAAACACCTGACTTGGGCTCTAATACTAATTGGTAGCAGAGATTAGTAACAGCACTCTGGATTATTACTTGGCTAATTGCTACTAGTAAGATATACACATACTTTGGCGCATCTCTTGTGGTTAGCAAAATTTCTTTTCTTACAAAAAGTAATATATAGCATTTTAAAACTCAAAAATCAAGGGTTTGGGGGCAAAATCCTGGACTTTAGTAAAATTATGTAAATTAATAACGGCTTCAAAAATCTTCTGTTTCCGCTGAAAAATTTTTGCTTCATGAATTTTCATTATTCTGGAATTTCATGAGTAATGTGTAGAGCTTTTTTGCTATTTTATGAAATTTAAAACACAGTTCAAAAATGACTACAATCTTTGCATATATCTGCTCTTAACGATTTTAAAGAACATACTCATTCTCTAATCAAAATAAGCAGAGGGAATGGGTCAAAGTCGCTTTGACTTAGTAAATTCTCAGTTTCTTTCCATTTCAAATGTTTCACAAATTTTTACGGGCTTACAAGCACTGATTTTCAAAATTTTATGGAGCTTATTCTTTTCGAAATACACAAAATTCAAAGTTATCAAGTAATACCAGTTACTCACAGCTGATCGCAAATTATTTTCATAAGTTGAATACTCCTATTATGGTAATTTTCAAGACTTTGCTGCCTATTTAGGGGGGGGGGAGATCTTCGGGTATGTTAACAGAACAGCTACGGTAAATGCTGAACTATTTCCTTACGCAATTTTGGCCAAATGCCAGCAATCTCAGCTTAATCAAAAAGTCCTTCACAGCTAAATACGCTTTTTTTATCCTTGTTACCCTATCCATTCCCAAAGCGTCATTTCTGTCGCGTTCTTCTCTGGGCGATGAGACAATTTATGCGGCATAGCGGTCAGATTTCGCGGCTGACATTCGAGAACGAGCAGCAATTAATTCGCCAGGTGCCGTCGGCGGGGTACGGTAATGCCGGCGGCCGGCCAATCGCGGGGCGCCGCCGCCTGCGCGACCCCTCCCACATCTCCAAAAGGGGTTCGGAGTTAGTGTAATTGCACGCGTCTACATTATACTGAGACGCTGAGTGTCGGATTTGATCCCATTGGACATACTGTCTCATGGCTGGCACATCATTTTCATCACAACAGGTGTGCGGTCTAGACTTTCTGTAAACATTTTTTCCAAAGCACAATATTCAGCTTGACGTGATCTGTACAGCGCTCTATCAAGCAAAAGATGGTGATCAACTTGTGCACCTCTTTCGCGATATGGATTCACAAGTTTTCTGTTCAGAATGGACGTCTCAGCCTGTTCGAATAGGTAAGTCTGCTAAGGTTTGCAATTACACAAAAAGTCTCTCCGTTGTTACGTACCATTGCTTTTACAGTATTTCCTTAACATTTTCATTGGTACTTCCATTTGAGTTTGGCGCACCATGTGTCGAGTGAGTGAAAACTCTCAATTTCCTCGTACTGCACAGTGACTTTCAAATTCTTTCCTTCGCTCTTATTCAACAATTTTTTGCCAATAGGAGTGTCTCCAGTAACAAAAGTTATTGAATTTTTGGACTCTCTTCCCAAGAAATTTTAGCTGCGTTTCTAGTGCTCCAAAAATCTTAATTCTTCTTCTCTGCGCTTTCCTGGCTCTACTGTCAATCATCAAAGGAGTGTTTCCTAATGCCGATCTTGTTTTTTTTTCTTTTGCTGCAATAACTTTTCTCCTTTGTGAAATCTTTCGGGCAATTCTTGCTCGATGGAAATAATGATATGATATAGTATTAATCTTCAAAGAGTTTCTTCTCTCTATATCTGTCACACTTCCCACCTTGTCCGATGCCACTGTAAATATGTACCCGTACACAAAACTCTTTTTATGTGAAAGGAATGATCTATATTTTTCGAAGTTTTGCAAATGTGAAGCACATGTCTCTTTTGAGAAGACCTAGTAGCAGGTTATGAATGCAGATTTGAGCTTAGCGATTCGAAATGACCATATATGTTTTGTTACCAATGACTGGATTAAAATAGTACCCTTCTTTGCTTTCAATATAGATCTATTTGTTTTTTTTTCTTGCAGATGAAGAACATTGTGCCATAAATCATTTTCATACTTTGTTCTCCATCTTAGAGACAACAAACATTCTTTGAAATATCGAACTTACAAACCATATTTCTAGGGTCAAAGCTACCCGCTCTTCTCATGAAAATCAAGTTTGTGCTGAACATAGTCTGATCACTTCTTTTTGAGATTTCTGAGAAGTCGAATTTTACTAGCAAACGAAAAGTTTTAGATTGCAGAGGTCTGAAGTTTAGTGCAATAAGTTGATCCGCTGGTAGCATGAAAAATACAGTTTTTGTCGAGTAGTAGGTAATAATGCAAATCATAAAAGTACGATTGCCCTCAATAAAATTTATATATCTGAATCTTGCAGTATTAATCATAACCAATTCACTTCATGGTTTGCAATAGCGCCAACATTACCATAGCGATGTTATCCAACTAATTAGGCCAAACTAGAGCTGGTAACATAAGTGCGACATTCCGATCATATCTGCAAGGCATTTGCATTACGAGTTCCCAAAAAAATTCCTCAAGCAATCGAATCAACATTTGACAGACTACGAGCTTATGATTCACCGCGGTAATAATTCAGTCATTCGCATCATAACCGTGTTTAGTAAAATCTGGGTACCCAAACTTTTTGAGTCAATACCGATTAGGGGGCTCTAAGTAGATTGCTCAAACACCAGCTCGTAAACGTTCGTTACAAGATATGACTCAAATTTATTCTTTCACTATCGTACCCAAGGGCGCCGGTTGGTTTGCTAGAGAGTACGGTAAATTTGACAAATGATTATTCGTACGATCACATGAGCTGTTTCTCGGGTGACTAATTACGAAGAATCCAAACCTGTTCGCATACTACACAAAGCTTGAATCTATTTCTCTCCTTGAACAGTTACCCTTCTAAGCTATTTTCAGCGTACATCTACGCCCTCTATCACTCCGGAAACTACGATCGGCTATTTGAAGTGATTGGCAGGTCACGGTTTGATGAGCGCTACTATAAAGAATTGCAAGAAATCTGGTACAAAGCGCGATATAAGGAGGTAAGTCCGTCTGCTCCTCATCCTAAGCAAGTTTCAAATTCATTTCTATTGCAGAACGAATCCAAGCGAGGTAAAGAGCTAGGTGCTGTTGAAAAGTATCGCCTTCGAAGGAAGTATCCGCCTCCGCGGAGTATTTGGGATGGGCAGGAGACTATCTATTCTTTTAAAGAAAATAGCAGGAAGTATTTAAAGCAGTTCTACAAACAGAATCAGTATCCTACTCTCGACCAGAAGAAAGAGATTTCCAGAGCAACTGATCTGGAAATTGTTCAGGTAAGTCTTATATCTTTTAGCACATCCTTTCGGAAATTTTTCAATTTTTCAAGATTTCCAACTGGTTCAAAAATCGTCGACAAAGGGACAAAACGCGATTGGAGTGTGCGCATTACAACCGGCCACAAATGATGCAGTTGCAAACGCTTGCCTATTCGAATCTCCCACTGAATATGAACATCAACATGCCATATTCATGTAAATCAGAATAAATCTATTGAAATCATACATCTCTCAACATCCGCTTAGAAGAATTCCACAAAAAAACTTGCTATCCCTAAAATGCAGGCATCTCAAAATTTCAAGCAAAGGCTCAGCCCGTTCTTAGTAAAAAAAAAAAAAAATAGAACAATCCTCAAGTTGGAAAGGTCAAAGTGCTCAATGGCTGAGAACCGGCTAAAGAACACATTTAGATTGATTCTTTACGTGTATAGCATGTTAACGCAACACTAATGCACATCATAAAGTTGTGCAACTAAATATGTGTACTGCACACCACGCGCGCTAGTCCACGATTCGTACGATTGGAATCTGTTAATTTCCCTGGAGATCCTCCTTACTTGTTGCTTTCTTTTGATTTGATCAAATATTACAATAGTATTACACATTTCCACAGATTTTCTGCTAGAAACATTTTACTAGCATACTAGTATCATGTCGTCGGCTGCGGCGCGCTGTGTGCAGGCTCACATATAAAATTACAAATGACTCGCGCACACTTTTCATTGTAAGAGGTAAACTTTGTGGAAAAGTTAGGAGAAATTTTGACTCCGGGTTGCAAGGCTTTGATACAGCAGCCTCAGAATGTTGAGAATATTGTATGTGAATTTGCATATGAGCTCATTACACCAATCAAATTACTCATTTCGCATAGCATGCCAGCATCAACCACAATATTAATTTTTGCAAGGGCATTTTTTTAAATACGTGGTCATTCTACAATGACCACGTATCAAAAACCTGGAGACCTACCTTACTGAATTATGGTCAGTAGTCAGAAATAACAATTTTGAGCATCAGTTTATGTTTAAAAAGCAGATATAACAAATCCGTGATCAAACTATCCTAACAATGGCAGTAACAACGTGAAAACATTGTCAACAAACAGCTAGTACCTACGTTAATGAGTATCCTCGAACCTAGCCCTCCTTCTTCAGTTCGCCACACTCAACGATGGTGATCTTTTCTTTGGGTTTTCCTGACTGCGAGCCCATAGATTCAATCTTCTTCACAACACTTATACCATCAGTAACTTGGCCAAACACTACATGTTTGCCATCCAGCCTGAATTCGTATGACTTTGGGTGGGAAAAAAATCCTCCATTCTAAGCTTCCTTTACCAAGGTGTTTCCGCAGTGCAGATGAAGAATTGGCTTCCATTGGTATTAGGGCCCGCATTAGCCATAGATAGGCATCCAAGACCGTTGTGGTGCAATTTGAAGTTCTCATCCTAAATACAGGTTTTTTAATCGTTGCTGCATTGACAAATTGGGAAAATCTAACCTCAAACTTGTGGCCATAAATGGACTCGCCACCTCGACCATCACCAAGGGTGAAATCGCCACCCTGAATTGATGCTTTTAATTGAGAAAAAAAGTTGCTGCAGAAAGCAATCGATATATAAACAAAGGTGTTGCAATTTCTGCCTGTAGATGAACTAAATGTTTAAAGAACTAAATAAGATGATACCTGAATCATAAATTGCGGTATAACGCGATGGAAAGTGGAGCCCTTATAATGCAAAGGCTTGCCACTTTTTCCCTTGCCTTTCTCTCCAGTGCAAAGCGCTCGGAAATTCTCTGCGGTTTTTGGTACGACATCATTGAACAGCTGAAATGAATCCATGATCACAAAATCGGTAGTTGTCGAGGAATGAGATGATTCAGTACAAAAATCCCCAAATGACCGACCTCTATTGTAATCTTTCCAGCTGGTTTGTCACCAATATTGACATCGAGGAACACTTTGCTTCGTGCCGCGTTCGATGCATTGCGAACTGCACTGACGATTATCCGAGACGACCGCGTGAAGAGTGACATTTGACCTCAAAGTGATTCAAAAGATTATATCCATAACACTTTTTCTTTTCTTAAAATTATTTGGGTTCGACTAAAGTTTCGCTCCCCAACTGGCAGTAGCGTAACTGAATGAAGATAAGGACAATGTACGGGGTCAGTGCCATAAGGATTTCCATTCGAGGGGCGGGACAAGCACTCCGAAAAAATTTGGGCATGACCCCAAAATTTTAGGAAAAGGGGGCACGGCGCTAGCCACGTCTCCGACTAAAAGTTTTTTTATAAGGCTAAATTGGATTCAAAAAATTATTCCAGTTATTTGGTATAAAGGAGTCATTTGTACATTTTTATAGCTTATATAACTTTCAAAAATTTCGCGATTTCTCGAGGTAGGGAGAGGCGCGCCCTCCCCCTTGATATGTCAAGAGGCGAGTTCTTTGTTGTCAGATCAGACGGACATTTAATAGCGCATTTTTAATGTTGAGTAACGTTATCTATAGTAATCTATGTCGGGATGCAGCTAGTCACAACAGCTGCTCGAGAAGGAGGTTGGCCGATGACAGCCAACCTCTGGCAGTGACCTCCGCCCGCCGGCAGGAGCTGTTGCCCTCTTCCCCTTTCCCCTTCCCCTTTTGTATGTAACTTGTATAATAAACATTATAGTAAGTCTCATGTAACCCCGCTACACATCAGGTAAAGGCAAGGCCAGCCTTTATCCTGACATGGAAGTCCCGGGGAGATTTTTTTTTGAGCTCTAATCAACAATTTCCTTGAAAATTCCTCCCCTCCCTACCTTCCCCCCACCATATCGACAACAACGCCACCCAAAGTCACAACGAACGAATGTGTGAGTCATTTTTAATTTTTTTGATAGTATAATCAACTAATAGTATGCAGTGATTGTTAAATAAAACAACTTTTCATAGAAGAGAATCTAAAATTTCAGAAAACAAAAAGGTACCGAAAAAATATATTACGCAAATTAGTAATGATCTTTGATTGAATTTTCAAGGATAAACTCTAATAGTCCGCGCGAGCAGTCCCAGAAGCAGTCCCTAAATCAACTAAATAAAATATATAATTAGCTCGCTCAACTCAATTTCGAATTAAATGCATTTTTTTCTGACCATGTAGGTGTACCATTATCGTCCTTAATCGTTAGCTAGGTTTTTAACACACATTCTAGCAGCATTTTCTAAAAAAAATTTACCAGTGTAAATGTGCAATGGTGTGCAAAACATAGGTAATGCCTCGCGAGTGAGAATTACCTATTACACGCCCTACAAATTTCACCAATCAAAAACTTATTCAAATTTTCACCTTCAAGAGAAATTTCTTACCAAAAATTGGACTTGAATTTTTTCTTCTATAAGTGTGGGACACACTCTTACGTAAGCGAATAAGATTTAAAAATTTCTACTTTAGTTATTATTTAGTCGCGCCCAGTGTTAGTATCTCTGAGGGGGTACTTACACGAAAGTTAATATTGTTGAGCATTAGTTTTAGGCATTGCATTCAATTTTTGTGTTTTCTTGTAATTTAGCTGCTTATCTAATATTTATTTGGACTGGACTGCTCGCATTGTAGCTACTTTACATATACTGCTAGCATCTGGAAGGACAAAATCCGCCAGAAAGACGTCAATTAATCACCCTCTGTGAATACAGCTAGCTCTCCCATAATCCTTTACACTGATCCCAGCAACTGTCTGTGCGCATTCAAAATAGCAATAAATTTGGTGACAATTGTAGAAGCTAGCAACTGCTGACCTTAGGGCCGTGACAAATATCGCTATGCGCCTGTTGAATATTCGGATAACCCTTACAACACTTGCTTTACGGCGCATCTAGCTGTTTTCCGACGCTGAGAAACTGTGCATCGACAGTGACAACTGCGATCAGCACCTCATTCATCGACAAGCTCAATTAGATTTGCGACCATACAATGCGATAAGGCGTAGTCAGCAAACTGAGGGTTTTGACTGTCCAAAAAAATAGTTTTTTCCTTTAGAAACAGGCAAACAATTTTTCTCGTTGTTATGTAAGACAATTTATTTTCTTCTTTCAACAGTCCGTATTTTAGTGTGCTAGAATATATTCTTCCAGATCAAAATTTTAACTTCCACTGATCCTATTATTCTTTTCGAACTTGGAAGTAAGTTTCACCTAATAAAAAGCAATCCAAATCAGGAAAACCTCAAGCATAATTCCAAAAATCAACCATTTTTTTAGCCAAAACTTTGCTATTTTTTACACTTTTGTCACCGGTAGGTCTCGTATAGATCTATAACGAACTTCGTAGAATAGTCATAGAAAAGGAAACTTTCTTCATGTTGTGACAGAACGATGATGCTAAGTAAAGGAGATTGAAGAACGTAAATGTTTACTAGTTTCCTTAGTTGAGCGAACATTTTCGAATCTTTAGACAATTCCGACCCGAAAGGAAGTCGCTTATTTGCTCGAAAAGCGCTTTTACAGATATGAGTTTTTGCTGTGTTAGAGTTGAATTATCCCTCTAACAAAGATACGAGTGTAATGAAAAAAAAAGGATATTGAGATGCACGTACCTCTGAAACATCGCTGTTAGAGCATGTTTCATGACCCCTTCCCGTCCTAGGACCCCCTCTATCCATATGGATACAATTAGATGGAGCGTTTTCCCACAGGTTAGTTCGAACACTTGTTGGAAAAATCAAATCTTTTCGCCCATCACAAGACTTGAAGCGGTAGATTATTTTGATACTGTGATCCTTCACGGTGAGAACCAGTTTTCCTAAACTGCATCGCTAATCGCAATCATCTGAATTAATTAATACATGCTTTTTCGTGGTGCATCACTGTTTATGACGCTGTCTACCTCAATCATAAGGGACAATTAGTCAGTGATTTTATAGCAACCAGAATAAATCCCGCAACCACACATTTGTGTATAGCGGAACAATAAAAACAAAGCGGTTATTTGTCTTTTGAGCTAAGGTTCGTGCGCACATACAATAGACCAATTTGCAATATTTTCATGGTACATCACAAGAGCAAATGCCCCGCAAATGAACGCAGCGGTAGAGGAAAAATGATTTTTTTCAAGGAATGGTTCTGGCAGGATATCTCAAACTCAGTATTTCTGGTGAATCATAAACCTGACTGCTCCATCGTAAATAGGAAACAAAGTTTGAGGATGAAACTCAAATATACTTATTCCTAAATCCTGATAAACTTTAAGAATTTTCACAAAAAATGCTTCAAACGAGATACTTTTCCCGAACATTAAAAGCCATTCAGCTTTACCCAATCATTAAACTAGGCAAACAAGTAGTTTTGAATTTTCTAGGCTGAGCGATTCTGGCGAAAAAGCAATTTAAAAAAAATTTGGATGCCATACAAACTTCATCTGCATTCACTCGAAAGCGTAGTTTCTCACTTTCCTGTCCAAAACTCTAGATCTCAAAATACAATTATCATATTGGGCTATCTAATGTACAAATTAGTCTAAATATCTCAAAAGAATTGTAAACAGTCACTAATTTCTAATTTTTCATCACAGGCAAATAACCCAGTTAACCGCCTACTTTAAGCATTTTCGAAAAACATTATGATCGAACACCTGATATGAAAGCACTTTCTACGTTTTGAAAATCTAATAAAATAAAGTTCAACTCACTCAGCTTCGTTTCGGTACCCAAAAGAACTTCTGCTTATTTAGCTCTGATCTTCACTCTCCCTTTAACAGACTCTCTTGATGTCTCACTCTCACAATATTAATAAGTAAAGCTGTTTGGTACCATGTTTTCCACATTTTGATAGACAAACTACCAAAACGTAATTGAAGAAAAAATCTATTTACAACCATTTTCGGACTTTAGTGGAAAAGAAATATTATGACTGTTTATGGCACCAGAAGTTGCATTAAGAAGTTTTTTTACATGCATGTAACAATTCGGAAAGCCCTGATCAAGTAAGTACGTACAGCTCATGCTTTAATGACGTCAAGATTTTGTTAGAGAAATACAACAGAGGAAAAGTTGTGCATAGTATTTAGAAAGAATTTCGGATCATATCAATTTAGCAATTTTTTTAAGATTTACGCGAGACTGGAGAAAACCATCTTCTCCTAAAGAAGCGTGCATTTTCTTTTGTCGAAAATTTCTTTCAAATTCTTGATCGTCGAAAAAAAAACGGAACACCGCAATTCTTTACTTTAGCTTGCAAAATCAGCTATTTGAGGTTTTAATCTTACCCAGCCGCCGAACTAGCAAAATATTAGCAAACTGTTCGAAAAAGTCGCAGTTTGCGAAAAATATGTGCCTACGTCTTAACCTAAGTTCATTGACTATCCATTTCCTTGAACATGGAAAAACCGCATCTTTTTCTCAACGGCGCGCTATTTGCCACAGGCTTCAACGCGCTGAAGGACTCTCCATAGACGCAAGGGATACTTTCTTTTGACTTTACGGAGAGAGTTGTTTTCGAGGACAATCTGAGCAGGAATAACATCCTTCAGATATTCTCCTATAAATATTCCTAGTTTTCAGAGAACTGGAATAAGCAGAAGGAGATTTTTTTCCTTATTTGAAGTTACTCAGTAAGAATATTGTGAAGGAAGTGTTCTTAACTTGTAGTAAAAGAAGAACTTTTGTTTTTTGCTGAAGTACCCATTTGAGTACATTACTCAAAAAGAAACCTTTCTTTGAAGAAGTTCCTGTACTTCAATCTACAGTTCCACAGCTTTCGTATTCAAACAAACATGATTTTTTGAAAGCGGAAGTCTCGATTAAAAAAGCAGCAGAATTTATGCTAGAATTACTTTCATCAAAAAAAAATTTTTTTTGTAAATTGTCAAAAAAAACCACACCGCAGCTCCGCTGCTTGCTTTTAAGAGTTTTCAAAATTCAGCATAGCTACTGCTCCCAGTCAACGATTGTACGTAGAAGACCAGCGTGAAAGAGTTTTTTTCCTTTCCCCAAAATATAAAATATCAGCATTGTGGTAATTTGTTTCCTTTTAATCGATCAGTTCTTGAAGGAAAAGGAGCAACCATTGGAGCATAGCTTCATAAATCTGACAGAAAAAAATAAAACAATTGTTTTTGTAGAGTCAACACTTTGAATTTGAGAAAAAAATCTGGAAAAAATCGATTTCATCGTCTGAAGTCGAAAAAAAACGTTTCGTAGCACGATAAAGCAGGGATTTTTGCAGCAATCAAGTGACCATGATGTCAAAGTTTTGATTTATCTCAAGGTTTTAGAAGGCAGTCAGCCTTTGAAACAAGCAGCAATGCTTGAGAGGATTCAAGACCACTTTCATAATCACATTTTTAAGAATAATCTCAAAGAATTCATTTGAGGTAGCCTCTAACTGTTCGAGAAGCGAAACATCGCAAAGACTAAATTTTACTCTCACTTTGAAAGTAAATTTGACTATACTCCCATCACGTCTCAAATACAACTCTTTGTAAAAGAAAAAATTACAGTTCCGAGTTGTGTGGTTAGGACTAAGTTGATGAACGTTGGAATCACAATCACATCGGCATCTCTTGAATTTAACGATAGAGAACAGCTCTGATCAAGCCTTGATTTCTCGACGTCAATATCCAATCACCTGTATGTTAGAAATTGCTGACGCATGCTTCTGGGATATCACTTATCATCGCACCAGGATAATTATGAAGAAGGATAGATATTCAGACGTGAATTTCCTTCCCTTTCCAAATAATTTCCAGTCCCCTGAATGAACATGCAGAACAAAACATTTTTTGAAGGGATTTAGACTAGTTCTCAAATCTTAGCTCTTCTACACATCCATCACACGAAATGATCGTTTTAAAAAAGAATCTTGAACGTTTTTCAACGAATTTTACTTCAAGAAAAATTTAGAAAGATTTTTGCAAGAAAATGCGCAAAACGACTTAGATTAAAAAAAAGGCATACTATCGGTAAAAACGCAGTTTCGCCACTTTGATGCAAGTGCAAATAAGTATGCCCCACGTTATTAAACGTAGCATTCATACCACACGAATAGTTTCATGGAATATGCGCGTAGCTGAATGAAGATTGTTTTTAGAGAGCAATTCTAGTTGAGATTGAAACAGTAAAAAAAGTTTTTTTCATAAGTAGAGGGAAATCCTCGGTGCTTTCGAGAACGTACTAGAATATTCAATTCGTCAGATCCTCTTCGAAATTAGTGACTTTTTCTAAATGAAAAAAAATCAGCAAAACTGATAATCTAAAAAACGCATACTTCTTGTTTCAATTTGCATTGCAATTTTTAAACTGTAGAGCATCCAAAAACAGAAAAAGCTGTTCAGAACGTTCTACGTCCTCCAATTCCTCATTTTTTTCTTCAAGAAACAATGGTAGTGATTCCTTTACAGATTTCAGCAGAATTCAGGAACTATCACTCCATAGAATTTTCTATGGATATGGACGCTGAAGAAACATATATAGCTTTAGCAGATATTAGTAGTGATTTATCATACATAATGTTAGGATCACTTCCGCTTTCTTATACTTATGACCCAAAGGCTACATATCGTGGTTTTTGCAGTGGAAGCGTTCTATTCGCATAATTTCCTATGCTAAAATGTATTGACTGTGCTCAATTCATTTTGTATAATTTGGTTTGTATTTTCATGTTGTCCATGTCGTACGTCGGCTAATGTTTCCAAAACGCACTATTTCAAAAAAAATTCTAAAAAAGAAACATCAGAAGATGAACGACATCATGTTTGTTTTGTTCATTATTGAAGTCTTGAAGTTGGTTGCAAGACCGCAAGACGATTTTTCGCATCTCAGTTTGAAAAAAAAATTCCGACTTTCAAAGTCTTTTTTTTTTGCTGCTGCCATCTTACTCAACGTGAGTTTATTTACATCTACTTTGCCGCACTGCTGCGTATCACATGTACCTTCTTTGGAAAGGCGATCCAAAGAAGTTCCTTTTCGAGCAGCGTATAAAACAAACTTTTGTAGCAGTCCAAAATTTCGCCCTTGTGTAGAAAGTAGCACGAACATTGTCACTACTTCGATACTTGCCCCTATGTCTAGGGTAGGCTAGGACTGAGATACTTGTATGTACATTGCCAAAGGAGTTGAATTTTGATTACTTCTAGATGTGATTCAAATTTTTTGAGATGGCTGCCATAGCATGCAATTATCCACAGAAAATGTTCGTATGAAAAAAAATTCTTAACTCAGCAATATTATCGCTAAACCATGTTTTATGTGTTCAACAAATGCTGTGAAAAAAAATTTTTTTCTATGTATATTGTAAAATTATCACTATTATATTGATATAATCTCGTTGTTGATCAGTTTTCATATCTACTACCCCGTATATTCATTAGTTTTCATTATAACCTCCTAAACGTTGTAATCTCTTTACTCCAAATGTTCACTTGCCTTCTTCATCAACTGCATTACTACTACGTCCCAAAGATCAATCGATCTAATCTCCATTTCCTACAACTCCAACCAATCCCTTCCCTTCATCATGTCGGGAACCCCATTGTCAACTGCATCTCTTCGCAGTTTCCCACACCGTCCCTCAGCTACTTTCAAGCTCGAGGACGATCTTAGTCGAAGCCATGGGATGTTCTAGGTGAAGGTCGTGACTGCTCGCAGTCTACTGGATCTGTACCCTTAATCTTACTATCTTCATACTCACTACTTCAATCTGTATGTTCTCGCCGTATATTACGTGCATATTCCAACGCACGCACGTTACCCGGAAGAACATGCCGATGCCACTACAACAGTTCGAAACCTCAACCCTATCACAAGCTCGAGGACGAGCTTTTCTGAAGGAATGGAGATGTCGGGATGCAGCTAGTCACAACAGCTGCTCGAGAAGGAGGTTGGCCGATGACAGCCAACCTCTGGCAGTGACCTCCGCCCGCCGGCAGGAGCTGTTGCCCTCTTCCCCTTTCCCCTTCCCCTTTTGTATGTAACTTGTATAATAAACATTATAGTAAGTCTCATGTAACCCCGCTACACATCAGGTAAAGGCAAGGCCAGCCTTTATCCTGACATCTATAAATTCCTGAGAGGATATAGGAAATCGTTGCATAGGCTGTTTGAGCTTATTATCTTGTTAATTTTTAAAGGTCAAAAACTCGTGAAAAGCATTCCTGACAATTTTGTGGATTTTTCGCTCAAATTTTTACTAAAAGCCCTCAAATTCAGCAACTGAACCACAAATTGCTAGTAAGCTGGAATTGTCTAGTATCCCTAGAAAACTTGCATAGCTTTAAATTGGGCTGTTGAAGATTATCTCCCCAAAGTACGAGCTGCTGACAACCACCCGGCTGCAGCTATGGAGTTAGGCGAAAACAAGTTAAAGGCTGTGGATCAACTGTACAACCATCTTTCTCTACGGCCATAAAATCAAAAAAAAAACATCCGACAAAAAATGAAGTATTCACAAGATATGACATGGTCTCCAGTGCAACAGATCCAGAGCAAGCTTTATTTGTAGAAAACAACGAGAATCAAATGCACCGCTCATCATAACATAGAATTTCGAATCAAAAAATCACAGACATCATGTACCATAACAAGTTTAACAGAACAAAAATGATTATGTAGTCTCCGAAGTTCCCAGAATCAAAAGATTTTCCGGAGAGATGCTCTCTGGTACGTATTTGATAACACGGGTATTGAAACCAAGGCTACTCAAGTATCGTGCTCGACCCGTTTCAAGAATGATTTTGGCTCGGCGGCCAAGCTCCTCTTTGTAATGTGGAGACCTAAAAAAGTGGTATAAAATTAAGAGTATAGTTTGGAAGAAAAAACTTACCAAGAAGCTATGTTGATTTGTCCGTTTGAAGCGGATCCATCACCAGCACTCTTGGCGGCATCTCCTTCCGGGTCTATATCGGGTGAGCCATCTGTTCTCTTCAACGTGATCCCACTTACAGCCCATGCAGCGATAAGTCGCAAAGCAGCAAAGTCACCTTCGCTGTCCATATTCCACTCAGCAAGAAAGTCACGCCCGCAATACTAAAACTCCAAATTAGAAAAGGCGACAAACGATTGTGCAGTTACCTCGCTATAACGAGACTTGTGGTGGCAACAAGGTACAAGAACAAATCCGCTCAATGAAAGACCTCTGGACACTCCATTTGACAAACATCGAACTCCTGCATCTGTTGCACTTCCACAGAAGTGCTTGCAAACAGCACAAAGACTCGATACTTCCTAAAATTAACCAAGAACTCATTACAAATCCTGACATTATGAATTATTCACACTACAAAAATTGATTTCTAGTGTAGTACCTTCAGCGCATCCACTTTGGACAGATCAAGATGTTCTATGGAACAGCGCAGTCGCTTTATGTCCAATGATGGATTTTCCTTTGGATAAAAATTCTTTAAATGAAAAAAAAACGGCACCATAACAAGAAAAACAAATACTTCAATATGTAGGAAATCTATAACTGAGCAGAAACTACTAAAGCTTGACGAATCCAGTGAATATAAACTACGAAAACAAAAAAGAAACGAAATGAAAAACCTTCCAAGCATAGTACCCACTTGAAGAGCCTTGTTATCGTATTTGTTCCTCGAACCACTACGATCTATCAATAAGAATTTGGCGTTAGGTGCTCGTTTTGTCATCCAGTACGCAAGTTGAGCCTTGATACTTCCGATTAGGGAAAATGTAAGTCAACAGAAATTGATGTGTGGACCTTTCCCGCACCCAGCTCAAAAACGCAGTTGGAAGGATCATTGCATAAAAGATCAACAGAAGTCATATGACCTGAAGGAAACGCACTGAGTGCAACAGACACCTAATGGAAAACCCTGTACCTATAATGGAACTCTGTTGGATGAGATGTTTACGCTTGCTATCAGACAGTTCTGGGCTTTGTTTGAGATGCTCTTCAATCTCATCAGTATGGAGTTGTACAGTAGAAACTTCAGCGCAAACGGATTCGTAATATTTTTCTATTTTCTCAACAACACGGCATACATCCTCCTAAAAGAAGGCTCGAATTAAAAAGGAATTTAAGACTCGTGTAGAAAAATTGTAGATAAATAAGTAACTGACCTCTGAAGCTCTCCTATCGATTTTATCTGTGAATTTCGTTTCTCCTTCCACTGCATTCATGTCTTTGATTAACCATTCTTCTTCAGCCACACGAGAGTTGCACCTGTAACATCACATTCATGGAGTTTCGTAAATCATAAATCTTCGAGGATTCGAAAGGAAGAACACAAGTTGGACAAAACTGCTAATAAATGAATACTAAAACAAACTCGTAAGCAAGCTTGTAACCTCAGCAGATGTTGTTCGAGCAATTTGCGATCAACAGTGTGCTTAGGGTCATTTGGGCAAGGTATGCGCTCCTGAAAACATTTAAGCAGTGAGTGAATTGTTTGGGAATAAAGAAGAAAAACGTCACCATGACGACATCTGCACATTGTAAGTTAAGTCTAGGCTAACTCTGCAAAACTGCAAAGTTTTTCTCTATTTATCAAATCTTACGACATCTGCTCTAAATGCTCGTCACATTATGAGTAGCTCTAGAGTAGTGTAGTGACTCGCTCTGAAGTATTATTGCCATATCATCTGTCTACGTAATGCATGAATTCGCCTTCATCACTAGTTAATAAAATATCAACGACATCTGTTCTCAGAGTTTATAACACATATTCGTATCATATACTAAGCAATTTGACGTCTATATATTGTCTGCTAAATTTTTCTAGGTCTTATAAAACACACCCATTGTTATTCCGAGTAAAGGAGTTACAAACACAATTATACGAGTGACATAAATTGCCTGCTGCCGTCAGCTTTTCATTGTGCGTGAACATGTAGCCATTTTGTACAGATGAATCTCAGATTTTCAAACTCCTAACATGTTCTCGTATTACTTTTTTTGTCCTCACTATGCGAAATTCCCAAATAAAAAGTGAAGAATGCAAACACAAAAAAATATACAACTACTCTAATAATGATGTAAAACTCGTACTCCCTTTCTTTTGTAACAAAAATGTTCTCGTTACCTCATTTTCCACATCTTGATTGGCGTGCTCTCCACAGTACTTGTGGCCGGGTTTGACAAGCATGCGGCAATTCCTACCTTTTTTGGGAATGAGATAAGAACATCGAGCTGGCCCTGTCATCTAGATAGATTTTCAAATAAAAATGGAATGAACTAAGCAAAGAAAGAGAAATAAGTAGAATGAAAAATATGGACAGGAGTGAACCTTGTATGATGTGCACACCTCTGCGAAGTGAAGACCTTGTTTCGATTGAGTAATGTCTGACAAGCATGCGAACACCAAACAAAACTACTAAAAGCAACTACACAATCTTCTTTATAGTCTAAAACTATTATACTTTTGAGAATTGCACCACTGCGTAAGCTGAGTCACTAGATCGTTCTGATATCTTATGAGAAAAGGTCCCACTCTCTGAGATGAGAGAAAAACCTACAAATTCTATAAACTAGCATTCACAATGCGTAAGGATATGAGTGTTCTGATAAAGAATTATCAACAGAAGTGTCTGTACACAAGGGCTATATGGAGAATTAAAAAAAACGATTCTAAGAGATAACAACGGAATCAATTCGCTTGAAGGCGCTGACCAGTATCGAACGATGGAAATACAATCTATACACTTGCCTACAGCGCTGTCTGTCCCGGCGATATGAAATCGTTTTAGTCATGGTAAAATCCTAGCTCTATGCAATCTAATGGCGTTTAGGTGGAACTTTGAAACAATATATCTTCATGTGATAGCAAATCTGGCGCGTGATTATGCAACAATATATAAGTAGCGAGGTATATGCATATATCGTAGCCCAGAGCAGCAATTTCTTTTCACAAACTTTGAAATCGTAATACCTAAAAAGACACACATAGAAGACTAGAAACGAGATGATGGTAAACCTACTGGTTGAGCATGAGAGCTATGGGACCCAAGTATATCCAGTCCCAGAGGACAAGCTCGCTCCGGCTCATATGGCCAACAATCAAGCGGTTCGTGGCCTAGAACGCAAAGGAGATTTTGAAAAATACTATACAAAAATACAAAGTTCAACAGAAACGCAAATACAAAGTACTCTGAAAAAGAAATTCTGGAAGAAAACTTTGCAAAGAAGAGATGTTTCACAAGTAAAATGCTAAAAAACAAAACTAAAAAGAGTAAACGAATAATATGAGAAATCCTAAATATACTAATCGGAATAATAGTAAACGACACACAGCGAGATACGGTGCACCAACAAAAAAACGTTTTGTTAAGGTATGAATCGGGTGCGAACAAAAAAAACGAACAGTACTAATTTGATATGCTCACCTTCGCTACAACAGCTCCAAAGCATAGAACAAACATTGTGATATTTTCGTCAAATACGCCAGTATGTGACTTGCTATATATCATTGCAAACGGAACTATACTAGCTAGTAATGGACACACAGGGAACAAAACCGAAGTGCCAGCAACTAGAATATGTATATAAGAATAAAAAGTAAAAGAAATTCAGCAATGCCAGAAAAATACCTGTGGACCCATTTCTTCCAACACCGCCAGTGAATATCACATCAAGGTATGATGACAACTGATAAATTGCCATAAATAATGTAAATAAAAGTATTAGATGACGCAACTGATAGCCAAACACACCTGAAAGGACAATTTCTTAACTACAAATGATGGTAATGACAAGAACCGACCGATAGTCCAAAAGTTAGGGCCAAAAAGAGCCGTGATTAATAGCAAAAGAATCAACGACATTTGTGCTTCTGTCACATCGAACTCCGAAAACCTATAAAACGTGAATAAGAGGTTGCACTTCAGGAACAGTTTAGATATACCTGAGTTGACCAGTGCAGTAGGTGCTCCAGTGAGCACAATAAAACAGTGAAACCGTCACAATGACGGCAAAAAATACACCGCATCGCACATCGCCAAGCCGCAATGCATACGCAACATTAAGGGCGACAAATACCTGTGAAAAGTCGGATATGAAAAAGAGAAGCAATTATTGAAAAAACACCAAACAAGATCTGAGGAGTTTTTTCTAAAACCGGAAATAAAATGGATCACCTGTGATATCGAATCACAACCATGATCAAAAAGTTCGCCGAGTGGTGATGCAGCACCTGTCCGCCTGGCTTGTTTACCATCTGAAAATGGCGAGATCAGTTTGTCAGAAAAAAAAACTGAAGATATGTGAAACATTTTGATGATAAGCTGCAAAGTGTAGAAAACTAAAAAACACAAGCAAAGGGTATGAAAAAATATTCGACTAATTCCGTTATCATGTGGTATATTCTAGACAGGAAATAAACACGAGGTTTTTATGATTTCAGTTTACCTGTAGCGTCTAGTGTCTGGTAAACAAATAATCCAAGACCAGCTAAAGCATAAGCCCAAGAAGGGGCAGTTTCTTTCGCTGTAGGGCAATAATATGAAAGAATCAACACTGTGATGAGATTCACCAGAAGACCTGAAAAGTGAAGATCTAGAAAATCCGAAGAGAAGAAATTAGAGGAAAAACTCACCGATTAAAGTGATAAGATTGGGTGCCAGCCATAACGGATAGAATTCCACAATCCACTCCCAAAAATATTTCATGCAAAAATCGCTAAGATAACTAGTATCCAAAGCTGAGTATCGGTGCTCGTTGAGACGAGATAGCTCTTCTGGTGTCATTAGACAATCATACTGTAATGTTGCGGTACAGAAATCAAACTAGGAGAAGCACAAAAGGTGAATTTGACATACTTCGAGGTATGAGTCAACGTACTTATTTCCAAGAGCTTCGGTAAGTAAAGGGTGGCTTCTCGGAGCGTAGGTGTACCTGGAAAGGCAGTTTCACCCGAACTATTTTTGTACTTAAGAAAAAAACCAAAGTGGAGAAAGGAGGAAGACGCCAACCTTTCACGTGTTCGATCTCTTTCCGCACGTGGATCTCTTTCTACACGGGCACCAGAACGAGTCACAACCATTGTATGGAAAAATTTTGCTGAAAATATCGGTTATGGTCTTCGTAAGTGTCTTACTGCTAGAGGGCTGGGACACAGCGAGTGCTAGCTGTTTCTGTGGAAGTACTCGGACGCTTTGGACCTTCTCTATTCTCTAAGTGGTTTCCATATACTATTGTTTATTTGACCCGGGCAAATAAATTCGTCTATTTCTAAAAATAGGTACTCGAGATAGCTGCGAACTTCATTTAGAGATTATAAGTTTTTCGGCAGCGAGAAACAGCTTCTGAGAAAAAATTATTAGGTGTGCGCAAAAGTTCTGTTTGCGAAACCTTGCTGCGTGGAAATGATCTGTAAGGCATGCGCTATACTTATCCGCTTGATCCGCTTCATCCATTTCTCCATTGATCAGTTTGCTAATTTGATCATTAGCGAAGTGGATGAAGCGGATCAAGCGGATCAAGTATGGCGCGCACCTAACAAGAAAAGAAAATAAGAAGAAAATAAATAAGAAGATGTAATTGCAAGAATAATTGTAAGAAAATTTCCTCCTATTTTCAAATTGATGTCATGGTTACTCATGATCCCGATCGCATCTGAATTTGATACAGATATAGTTACGCGGTGAATGAAAGTTGTTGCGAGCGAAGTGAGCACAACCGCAACGAGTACCTCGATCGAATCCGGATAACGGCCAACTATGGCATCGCTCTAGGCAACTACTTGCTTTTTTGAGAAGTTGGAGGCCTATGAATTTACCGCATTCAACAGATATGACCGGCAGAATTAATGCCCATTTGATGTGTATTTTTCTTGATGCCTCCGTTAAAGCTTAAATCTAACTCATTCTGGTTGTACGCGCATTGAAAACTATCTTGGCTAATTAGCCTTTGAGTCTAAACGCAGAAGAACTCTTCGACGGTTGATTCTTGCAGCACAGACATCTCTGATAAGAACTAGACATGACAATTGAGTGATTAGAAGCGCAAGGAAAGTACAGGGAAAGGGAAAGCTCTCGAAGCTTCTTAAACACTTTCACGAGCAAAAAGTAGAGCTTCCTCTTGCTCTGACTTCTCCAACAGCCCACAGCGTATTAAACTACTTCAAAATCAACTGCCATGGACTGCTTGTAGGTGAGAGATAAAGATTGAATCTCGACTACTTCGCAAAAAAAAACTCTTGACATGCCAACTAACACCATAAACACTTCACGAGCACATTATTCGCTTGTTCCCACAACCAAACCATCAAATACGGTAAATTTCCAAAGATAACGTATTAGAGAATATGCACTACAAATGAGCAATTTCACGGCAATCGCTCTACACTGCGATTAAACTAAATGATAGAAGCAGATAAACCCTGCTGAACAACAAGCAGTTCAATCATCAAGAACTCACAACAATTTAACAACGATTTGAAAGGACTTGCAAGAAACGAAATATTAAATGCATGGCCGCGCTCTATTGGTGTTAACTGCTCCACAGCGAATTCTCATTTGAGCAGCAACCTGTACTAGAGCGTGGAATCCGACATTGCTGTCTTTGCATCTCTTCTTTTCTCTTTTCCTACCTTTGCTTGATGTCCAGTTGAATTATTACGTACTGTGGCATTGACTGTAATTAATACTAGTTGTAAGTTTGAGTTGTTTGAGTAAGCGGTGCTGTGAACGGTCTGTTGGCAGTATCGCCTTGATAGTACGGTTCGTTTCAACCCGGAATAGGCGAAACTTTTGACATGGAACAGCGCGTCTGCTCGCTGGAGGCTTTGCGAGCGCACGGCGCTGGCATTTTGCCAAGCAAAGAGTGAGGAGAATGAAGAGACGCAGACATGGGTCCCTAGCACGATACGATACTGTAGCTGCAAAACGGCGCGGACTGCGAAGAGGGCTCCCTCCAGTCCAATTTCCGCCTAAACTGGGCTGGAACTTACTGTAAATATGCAGGCAATTTCATGGAAATGAGCTTTCTTTTCCTTGGAAACAGTGGCGCAGGCCATGTTGCAGCTGCTGTTTTTAGCGCTCGTCAAGTAGGAGTAAACAGAATATGCGCATAGCTGCAGCGCACCGCACTTTCTGCATTCTCTGCGTCAATAACTCACCTATAGTGATACCGCATGATTACCAGAACCAACATCTGACTTTGATAGATATACCTCTACATCCTCTAATCTCTCGTCAGCTTGGCCTTCAGATTTCAAACTTTGTCTTCGACACCTCTATTCTGTTGGGCCACAATCACGCTGATGTCTATGAGAGAAACTTCTATGCCAAAATTTTACTCTTATCGTTTCTGTTGGCTTCAGATGCCAGAAGCTGGCGAAAAAAGTGAATTTGAGCCTGAATGGGCCGATGAGGAGGAAGAACGTTCCGATCGAAAGCCGACTGCGAGTACATTTGGCGCGAGGAAGGATCCACATTGGTGGGATATTTCTACATTCAGTAAGGTAAATTCTCACCTATAATTTATTCGTGTTTATATAACACAATCCTTTTTTTTCGTTTTTGAAGTCATATCCTGTTTAGGAAGACAATCCAACCGGATTAGTTGCCGAATCTTCGTTCTCTTGCTTGTTTCCTAAGTATCGGGAAAAGTATATCCGAGAAAGTTGGCCATTAGTGGAGAAGACCATGGGCGAGCATTTTTTGAAAGCCGATTTAGATTTATTGGAAGGTTTGTGAAGTTTAACATTCTATCTTGAACTCTTTACGACCATTCCAGTTGAATAGTCATTTAAATCGTTCAAAATTTTCCTACTATATTGTTCTTGTGCAAATCATCTGTAAGTGTTCATCCAGTAATCAAGCACATGAAGGGCAGTCTAGATGCAATTGAGTTAGCTGCTCAAAATCTATCGAGTCCAGTTTTGTAGAAAGATTGAATATGTGGATTTCAAGATTGACTCAGAGCTTTTGAGTTTATGTCGCCTTCTCTAAATCTGATCCGTATTATCTATGAAAGCATCATCTATCGTTTCTAGGAACAATGACAGTTCGTACTACTCGGAAAACGTGGGATCCATATATTCTGATCAAAGCGCGTGACGTCTTGAAATTGATGTCACGTAGTGTTCCATACGAGCAAGCAATCCGGGTGTTAGACGACGAAGTTTTCTGTGAAATTATCAAGATCTCATCTATGGTATGTTCTGCCATCATTTGAACCCTATTGTCTGCCTATTTTAGCGTGTATGTTCGCGACTTTTTATTGTTTCAAATGTCAAAATTTATTTTCCAGTGTCCAAATAAGGAACGATTTATAAAACGACGAGCTCGCCTTGTTGGTAACAATGGCGCTACTCTCAAAGCTATGGAACTCCTCACTCAGTGTTATGTGTGCATACAAGGCGGAACTGTCTGTGCCGTTGGTCCACTGGCTGGTTTGAAACAAGTCAGGTTAGCAACTTCATTCTTACAACTCATTTTCGAATCTTCAAATCCTCCAATAATTTCCCCATATCTGTTTATCATATCTCAGTTTTACATTGGATGCTAACTAATCTTTTTTTCGTTTTCAGCGGTATTGTCACAGATTGTATGAACAACATCCATCCCATATATAATATCAAAACGCTTATGATAAAACGCGAGCTGATGAAAAATGATAAGCTCAAAGATGAAAATTGGGAGAGGTTTCTGCCAAAGTTCAAGAAGAAGGTTGGTTTTTTGGTTTTGCCATCTAAAATCACTTTTTAATTTGATTTCTTTAGGTGCAATCATCAGTCACTGCAAATGAAGCTAAGAAAAAGAGGAAGAAGGCATGGAAGAAGAAGGGTGAATACACACCATTCCCACCAGCTCCAACTCTTAGCAAGGTAAGTTTTGGCGATTTCCAGATTGATTTCTTTGTATCATGTATTTTTTCTCAGATTGATAAGCAACTCGAAAGCGGAGAATACTTCATGACTGAAAGAGAGCGTTTACTAAATAAAAAGAGGTGTGTCGCATTTTTTGGACTTGAATGAGCTTTTTATGTTTTAACAAGATTCCTTGCTTGATTTAGGAAGAAGGTAGAGGCAGCCGCAATAAAATCGGAAGATCGTAAAAAGGAAAAGTTGAAGAAATTCCAGCCACCTGCTGAAAAAGTAAGTTCATTCGCTGAATCGCTTCCTTTTCAATAAACTCTTCCATTTTAGCCAAGAGAGAAGCAAACGAAGAAACGAGAAGCAGGAGAATTAGACCTCGAAAAGATTAAGAAAAAAGTCAAAGAACTTGCAAAATGACACTTTTCTTTATATCCTTGTTATGTTTTGTATAGTCTGTCCTTGTTGGCATTTTGTTGTCGTTACGATATTGATAGAGTGTTTGAATTGTTAAGATATACCCCAGAAGGCATTTGTGATATCTTCCTGACGCAGTTCTTCAACAGTGAGTAACTTTCTCGAGGACGTCCGAGGCGTTTTTCAACGGTGTGGAAATAAATGCGCTGCGCGTCCTGCGAAAGCTTTGCTTGACGTATGCGACCGCTCTCTGTTTAACAATGGCTATACTTGCCCTTACTTCAACGGGATTAGCGGTTGGAAGGCGACCTTTCGCACCCGCAATGCAGTCTGCGTCTCTCTAAAGCGTGCTCTCTGGTCTACCCTAGTCTTGATTAGGCTGATTAGGCCTCAAAACCCGCCTTGCAGCCGCCATTGCCGTTGAATCAAGGGGTACATTCTAATCCATTTCTCGTTTGAACGGCGAGACCATTAGACAGCATGGGTTGTTTGTCGTCGCCTAAGAGAGTCTGACTAGAATTTTGCTTTTACGCCACGACAATTGACAAAACAAGTTGCTCATTTATGCTGCATTTTGTTTGAAGCGGATGAAGGGGATGCAGGTCGCGCACCCACCGCGCGCGGCATTCTCAAATTCCGCGCACAGTAGTGCACCTATGGACCCTTTCAGGTATAGGCGAATCAGAAACGCAGAAGTCCCGTGCAGTCGATGAGTACAGGATATGTTGTTTCAAGGCGGAGAAACGAACACCTCAATTGGGCACCGCCTTCGCGGACTACTGGTCCGATCACGATGCACAACAGTAAGGCGAAAGCACCAGCAGCCCGCGGAGGTGGTGCCTAATTGAGGCGTTCGTTCCTCTACCCTTCATCACCATAAACGTCCAGATTTGCTTTTTCAGAGGATGATTGCTGATGTAACAAAGAAAAATTTCTGCGAATGCTTACCACTTATCAAGCAATCCATACGAGAGGCGGTCTTCGTATGTTAGTCTTTCTCCTCATTGCACTGCAGAGAGTATTTACTCGCCAAAAAAAATGTAATGCTTCTGTGTACTCGTGCCTAATCAGCCCAACATTGGACGGCGAAGTCTGCACACAAGCTAAAATTATTGTAGTCTATCAACCGCTGGTGCAGTTTACACTGAGCAGCGCTTCCGCTTTGTTGGAGGCTTTGCGAGCGCACATTCCTCGCTGGAATTCTGCCAGTCAGAGATTGAAGAGAATATGGAGATGCAGTCATGCGTTCGAACGATGAGATGTATCTTAGCTGCAAAACGTGCGAACCTTTACGATAGAGATGCCCGTCATCCCAAATTCTCTCTGGGTTAAAGCACAGTGTATCCTCTGTATCATTAGGAGTGACAAGTGCTGAGTGGGGCTCGGGTCCCGCGCTCCGCCTCGTTTGGGCTCTGCACCTCTTTCATTAGCCTGCTCTCTGACCTTATCCACCACGAGCATGGGGAAGGCGCAACTCAATCGCTAATTCGCCTGTATCATCTGTACCCCGTTGATCACCGTGTTGCACGAGCTATAGTGTTGCTTCTTCGTCCCTTTCTCGGGCGATGGTTGACCAGTTTCACGTATCGCACCGGGAACATGTAACGCTGTGAAGAACAACAGTGAAGAACTTCGTGAACATACAGTGACCGCCAAAAAGTTGCGGACAAACCCCTCTTCCTTTTTCATCGCTCTTTTTCAGAGGGAAAACAAGGATGAAAAAATGTACTAATTGCACGAGGTGATAGAGCTCTTCAATATCTACAATCTACACTTTGAGCTTTTGAGAAACATGTATTCTAAAAATTAAGAATTTTTCTCTAAAAAAAGTCCGAAAATGGCCGCGTCACAATGTCGCGGACAATAATTTTTCGAACGCAAAAATTTTTTTGAGTCCTATTTTAGAGCGGAAACACAAGTTGTCCGGACGGGTAAGCATACTACTACACAGAGCTGGTCAAAAACTACACACTGGTTATGGTTGCTTCCCCAAAAACGCAAGCTTGAGTTTTATTTTACTTTTTTCAGAAAAACAACATCTAATCTTCTTTATCAAGCCAAATTTCTTCACACGGAAACCTGTTCAAGACATCCCAACGAAGCCGTCTGGATAAAATAGATGCTCTTCGCCTCCTCTATGCATCGGACGTGTGCTGATGAGTTTCTTGGCTGAAATTGGCCCTTGGCAGTGCTTGCACATGACCCCACTTGCACCTCACCACTGACTTGTACCGCTTTGCAGGCTTGTAACTCGGCCTGTAGTCAATATCTGAATCTGCAATTAGGCTCATTCGAAAGAACGAGATTTCCTCTACACGATGGTATGCAAACGAGTTGAGTGTGAGGAATTTCAGAGATTTGGCGGATGGGGTGGAAAAGTGCAGCCTTAGAGGTGATTGGAGTGAAGGCTCTTATAAACACCAGAATAGTTAGAGCTTCAAAATGGATCTATTATAAGAAAATTGACAGTTTTTAACTTCAAGGATGAAATTGGCAGCGAAAGGAGCTCTCTTCACTTTAGCTGAAAAGTGCTTAGACTACAACTAAAGCTGTCCTCCCCATCCGCCAAATCTCCAGGATTGCTCAAACTGAACATATTTGCACACCATCTTGTAGAGGAAGTCTCGTTCTTTCAAATGAGCCTAATTGAAGGCTCAAATATTCACTGCAGGCCGAGTTACAAGCCTGCAAAGCGGTACAAGTCAGTGGTGCGGTGCAGGTGGGGTCATGTGCAAGCACTGCCAAGGGCCATTTTCAGCAAAGAAACTCATCAGCACATGTCCGTTGCATAGAGAATGGCAAAGAGCATCTATCTTATCCAGGCGGCTTTGTTGGGATGTCTTAAACAGGTTTACATGTGAAGAAATTTGGCTTGATAAAGCAAATTAGAAGTTATTTTTTGAAAAAAGCAAAATAAAACTCAAGCTTGTGTTTTTTGGGAAGCAACCGTAACCAGTGTGTTGTTCTTGACAAGCTCTGTATAGTAGTATGCTTACCCGTCCGGACAACTTGTGTTTCCGCTCTAAAATAGGACTCAAAAAAAATTTTTCGAAGAATTATTGTCTGCGACATTGTGACGCGGCCATTTTCGGCCTTTTTTCTAGAGAAAGATTCTTAAAATTTTTAGAATACATGTTTTTAAGAACCTCAAAGTGTAGATTGTAGATCTTGAAGAGCTCTATCACCTCGTGCAATTAGTACATTTTTTCATCTTTGTTTTCCCTCTGAAAAAGAGCGATGAAAAAGGAAGAGGGGATTGTCCGCAACTTTTTTGCGGTCACTGTATCTGACCATCGCGCCGACGGTCTTCTTCGTTTAAGGCCTCGGGCATACCTCACGCGATTTCAGTCGCCACGCGATTTGGCAATACTCCAAATGTTCATAACTCATCGTACGGGGTTTCTGAATGTATGGGGTGGGGCATTTTATCAACCTACGAAAGCTATACATGCATTTGGGGTCTACCAGTATTGAATTTGAAGACAATGGGGTCTACCAGTATTGAATTTGAAGACATTTGGCAAATTGCCAGATCGCGTGGCGACTGAAATCGCGTGAGGTATGTCCCTTGCCTAGCACATTCAAGACAAGGCCGATTTTTCGATTACCGTGGTCGACCCACCTGTGGGTCGTATTGTCCGAAATGGTAGTCTTTTTGGAAGAAAATCAAAACTTGTCTCCGAGAACTTCCCCACAAGGGTTATCGAAAGCGCTGATTACCAAAATATGATTTATTTTAGTTTTTGGCAGTGTACGGTAAGGTGGGTGTATGTCAAGAGGTGCGACTTTTAGGCCCGTATGCACGTACGTCCCCGCTGGGGAGGGGAGGGGAGCTGGATCCCCAAGGGAACGATCCCCTCTGCCGAACCCCGCTATGACAGAGGGGAGGGGAGCGATCCCCTCCCCTGCACCTAAACGGGGATGGTGTGAATGGTTTCAGAGGTATTGATCGAGCGAACCCCAGTGCATACGGGGTTCGAATGGGGGAGGGGATCCCTTCCCTTCCCCCACTCGAACCCCGTATGCGCGAATTCAACTCAATAACGCGGGGGAGGGGATCGACATCCCCTGCAACGAAGTAGGGGTTCGATGGTGTAGATCACGACAGAGACGCGGATATTCTGGTTCTGCCCAGTCATTACCAAGCATTTCGTTTATTTTGATGGAGGATTTTCTTTGAAAGCCGGGTTCTTCTCTCAGCGACCTGTGGCTTGCAATTTGTCTTTCTTTTCTATATTCGCTTCTTGAGAAAAAATCCGAGCAACAATAGCTGCCAATTTCGATTATTTGTAGGAGTTCTTGATCATTCAGGCAATTTGCGCATTTTTCATATAACATAATAGTTTTAACTATATAGGCTGAGTAAACACATTGTAACTTTCATATTTCATGACATGTTGCCACTATCTTGTTATTTTAACATAAGCTGCCTCGAAAAAATCTAGAAAGTAGCATATTTGCCTATTTCTGAGTAGAAATCCCCTGGGGAGTGATCCCCTCCCCAGCGTTCCCCTTGTGCATAGCAGGGATGGCTGCTGGGGATCATTCCCCTGGGATAAAGGACGATATGCAGCTGATAGCTACAGCGTTTATGGAGAGCTGGCACAATTTGCAGCTTCTGTTATGTATTAGAATACTGCTTTGAGCGTCCGCGCGGCACCCCCCCCCCTTTTCGGCAGCATAACGTCTTCTACCCATTCAGTTGCAGAGAAGACACAACAGCTTCTATAGTTCAACATTTTTACGCTGAAATGGAACAGCATGAGCGAAAGTGGGCAGCATCCGAGAAAGCAGGATCATAATGGGAGTAGAAAAAATCATTTTTAGTGCCCCGAGCGCAGTCACTGCATACGCGCATTCCGCAACCCTAAATTAATGAAAGCGAGGAGATGAAGATGATTTGCGGTCAAAATATGAAATAAGAAAGAGTTTTTCATAGAAAATTTGAAAGCAAGGTGATTTCCCCGCTTGATCCCCTCTTGTGCATAAGAGGGTTCACTTCCCCTCCCCACAGGGGATCCCTTGTCCGATATTGTCTTTGTGCATACGGGGGTTCGCGCGGGGAGGGGAGGGGATCCCCAGCGGGGATCATTTCAATAGTTAAGCTCACATCCCCTCCCCGCGGGGATGTACGTGCATACGGGCGTTATTGCCAGATGGACACCAAATAGCGCATAATAAGGGTTTTCTAACATTTTAAAAACAATTGAACATTGGCAGAAGATATATTAGGCAGTTGCATGAGTTGCCTAATCTTGCTGTCTTGGAATAAATTCAAAATAGTAACTTTGGAGGTCAAAAACCCATGAAAATGCAGTTAAGGACAAATTTGTAAATATTTCGGTTCATTTTCAAGCAAAAGTCACTAAACTCAGCAAGTGGTAACCTCAGACAGATAGTAAGCCAATGCACTTTATCTGGTATTTTTTTAAGACTCGCATAACACTAAACTGGAGTTTTGACTTGGCGACAGCCGGAGAGATCGCGCCTCTTGACCGTCTCCCCGGTAAGGTTACGGTAGTCATTCTGTACAAACTCAACACCATGGATTTTCATGAAAAATTGTGTTTTGGGGTTACTTCACGTGCTGATCACGATCATAGTGTCCATTTTGTTCACTTCTTTCCCACAGTGGAACTACGGTAGCAGCACGGTAGAACTTTCGTAAAAATTAAGAAACTGATGTAAGAAGGCGGTAATAGAATCTGAGACTATCATTCTCGTAATCAGCATGCTAAAAAACCTATATATGTAAAGTTTGAGTTTCCTGGGATGAACAATGCGAAAAATCAATAAAACCGATAATTTTATGATAGGACTTCGACTCGTGCCCTCTCCGTATTTCTCGTGCATGTAAACTTAAATTTCAAAAACAGTATCACTCTGCGAAAAAAAGTTGAGCTAAAATCTGTCCCTTACCTCTGTCTACGGTATACTTACCGTAACATTACTTTTACAGTATCCCTAGCTCGGACTACTCTGGCTGGAGCTTCGCCAAGGTGTTAATCATGTGCCAGAATCCCGTAGAATTCCATCGTATACAAGGCTAGAGCTTCAGGAACTTTACGACCCACCAGTGAATCTTATTGTCGTGAATGTGTTAAGTTTAACGTCCACTGGTATCCAAGTTGTTACAGCTCTCTTCCACCGGTTGTCGTCAAAATGCATCTCGTGATAGCGATTTTTATCTTGTCCTGCTTGCATATGCGGCTGTGTCCCTAATGGTCGATCGTTCACGTAAGGTAGAACTCCATATATATTCTCTCATTTGCGTGGCTCGTCCACTCGCAACATCATTCTCTCAACAGCACGTTCAATGACACATACCAAGTGTTCATCCTGCTTCCTCATTGTCCATATTTTTAAAGTGACCGTGAAGCAGAAAGAACCGTTGAGTTTAGGATTTGGGGGGGGGGGGGGGAGCAGGCTCAATTGTCGTAAATGCTCCCCATGTCGCTCGTTTCCTTCTGCTCATCCGGTGCTGGGTCATTTATCAAGTTGATTTGACCTAGGTAAGTGTATAAAGCATTCAAAAAATCGTGACAATGGCCGACCGCGCGCGACACGCACGCACTTCCGGCAACCGCACCTTTCTTGGTCTTCATCGCAACTTGAATGGTTTTTCTGCTTGCATATCACAGTATTTAGACACCGGAATTAACTGCGCTGGGCGTTGAGGTGTGCCTTTTTGTATGACTGTTTTATGCACTTGTGGGCGCAAAGACCGCAGTCAAATCCGTCGTCACGATTTATAAATGCTTCTTGAGACTGCTTGAGCTGCACACCAAGATTAGTAACTGCTTTATTGACTGACGTTTCGGCAATATTGCCTTCTTCAGAGTCTGAAATTGTCGAATGCATAGGAAATCTATCCTGCCAAAAACCACATCAAGACTCAGAAAAGATGTTCGATGCGTCAGGAAACCAAGAGCTACAAAAGTAAATGCAGAATTACACTAGTGCTCACCTAAACAGCTGATGACTGCTTGATCAGCAGACCGTATACCAGTAACTAAACTCCAAAACTTTTATAGTACCCACTGACCTAGCACTTGACCTCAGAAGCCACAAAGGCTCTGATAAGCGGCCAACTCAGTAGTGATGGCTATGCACTCATCCTTTCTATTCAAATTTTGGAATTTTGACGGCAATCCAAAACGCTTCTAATGTCTTGCGCGCCAGGATTTCGGATTCGCGTGCTAAGACCTCTACAGCTATGTCTGCGTCATTGTGGAAGTGCCTGCGGTGCATGCCCAGTGGAGTTGCCGTATTTTTTTGAGCCCGTCTAGATGTTCCTTGATCCAAGTACATAGAGGGGGCCCCGTCTCGCCGATATACGGGCCCTCAAATGTCTGGCAAGTGATAAGGTACACTACCCCGACACCATGCAATCTCCCTCCTTGCCGAACGGACATATTACATACCCTGGGGTCATGCACAGCTTATCATAAGCGCGATTACGTACGAGTTGACGCTTAAGGTTGGGGGGGGGGGGGGGAGGTACGTCCACGAATCTTACCCAATCTTGCAGATCCACTTGATGTACTAGCCTTTAGATTTATAAATGACCCATAGCTTGAGCAGTCGTGGTTTAGTTCCAATGAGCTTGAAAGGAACAGCAGGCACTCTTCCGTTTCTCGTGAACATCGTCTTCGTCAGATTTAGCTGTAGACCAGTCTTTCCACATACGTCGTCAGACTGGGCCAGCATTCGTTCTATTTGCGTAATTCTTGACGTTATTAATACGATGTTATGAGCAAAGCGAAGATGATGTGTTGCCGGTTATCTATTTCCACTCTCATGCCGTCTCATTCCAACTTTCGCATGACGTTTTCTAGAACGGCACTGTACATTTTCGGCGATATAGTATCGCCTAGTCACGCCCCACCCCCTCACGTCTATGATGATGTCCTTGTAAGGGTTGAGCCAGAGTGCGCCGCATACGTGACGTACGCAGCGTACGCTCGGTATATTTCATTATAGGAGGTACGCGACGTACGCCGCGCAGTCTGGCCCAATCCTGAAATGGCGTGACGCTGATGTGAAGCCGTTATACAGCTCACGAATAATCTTGAGGTACTGAGTGTGGATGCCGTAAATGCTTGGGGCATCGATGACGGGTTTATTCTCAACCGAGTCAGAGGGCTTTTTCGTGTTGATGAAGGTAAGACGGCGGTCTCGTACTCTCGTAAAACTTCGATGAGCCTTGACACCAGCTGATGTGGGAGGGTCTCGCGCGGACTTAATGCGAAAACGCATCTCCCTGCATGTGCAAGGGTGCGTACATGTTGCAGAGACCACGGAAGCCGCCTCCTTCCGACGATATATAGTCCTCTACCCTCCTTCGTCGAACTCTCTTCCGATGCCGTTGAGAATAACTCGCGTAAAGATTTTGTAGATTAGGGACAACGTCAGATAGGATTACCGACATCGCAGGAAACTCCCGTTTTTTTGGCAGCAAAGTCTTGCTGGTCTTTCACTGTCTTGGAACCTTGCCTTCCGCCAGGTACCGTTTGAAAAGCCTTGCCAAAGTCTTGATGAGAGCTGGCGGGAGATGTATCAGATGTTCTGACTTACGCCTGTCGGGATCGAGTGCTGTAAGATCTTCAGCGACATGATAGCACAACGAATCTCGGAAGGAAGAACATGGGGATAAATGTCAAATAGTTTGAATACAAGACAATGATTATCAAAAATCTCATGCAGACTTCCGATTATCTAATCTTGAAGTAGCAGAATTCATTGAGGTATAAAACATTAATAACTCTTACTTGCCACCTGATATAATGAAGAGTTCCGGGGATAGCACAGAAACAACAGAGCACATCTAAGGATAAGAACGAAACGAATTCTTCAAAGCGCAATGTAGTAACGGATCAAGGGGGAGAGGGCAGCGAGGGGGGGGGGGTGCTCTCCTGAGAATGGGTCGCGAAATCTTCGAAAGTTACTCACATGAATCATAAACATGCGAAATCGACTTTCTATACTTGAAGGGAAATCTTGGGACCACCTTTACTAAGTATATCTGTTAAACCCAAGTTTTTTATTGCTAGTGTTCTAGCCTTTTACTTGTACTTGTACTTGTGGTGGGTCCGAAACACTTGTAAAATAGTAGATTTATTAGTAGACTGGATATAGATAAGAACAGACTATAAGAGAGACGAATGACATAGCTAGCAGGGAGCGCCTTATATAGCGCTCAGATCCCGCGCATAGGTCAATACAACATCAATAGATCAGATCACTAGACAACAACAATACAAACGGTAACAAATATAATGTTACTCTCCATCAGCTAGTATATGTACGGAACGCTCATGAGCTCGATTCAGCAATTGATTTTGAGTTCCTGGGCTTAGCTCCTGAGAAAGGGAATGGCTCAGTATCACTGTTCGACTCACCATATGAACGTTATGAGAAGCTCTGTGATGTAGTTCGTCACTTCCCACCTTGTCAGCTTGGTCTCGCTTGCTTCCGAGAGACGGAGAAAGGGTCTGTTCTGCATGGAGATAGGAGCTAAACTCAATAACAATCACAGTTTTTTTGCAGGTACGTTGCTGATGTTTTTAGCATCACGCTCCGAAAGCGAAACCATAATGAAAAGTTTTCGATCTCAGTGGCGGCTACGGAGTTTCTTACCGAGCACGGACTTGATTTCAATAAGGTTAAGGTAAATAAAACAAAAGTTTCTTCTTAGAAATGTAACTGTAGGTTCTATACGAAGGCATCAGCTATTGCAATCGCAGGCAAATGGGCAACATCGCGGATCTAATTGGTCAGAGAGGTTCTGATTGCAGGTGATTATGACTAGGCTATTGAAATAGCATATGTGCAGTTTACTATATGGTTCAGCTAGTGTGGAAGTAGATTTCAAAACAGAGAAAATTGTACATTCGTTAACGAACAATGGATTCAAACGTGAAACCAATGTTTCATTGTTTCCGTCTGCATGGCTCGCTTTCATAGGTTGCCAAGACATCCAAGGACATGGAATCAACAACTAATTTTATGGCCCTTTCTTTTGAGAACATGACCACAGCATCGAGGAGAGGGTTTTGTAGATTCCGATTACGATTGCCATATGTACCCATGTAAAACTTCCATTTTTTAGCCAAGGTCTATTATATCATTTCGCCTTGAGGACTTCCATATGCGACTAGAAAGTTTAGGACCCTCCCAGACGGTAAGAAGGTTCTGCAGCTTGCATTTTTGAGCCTTGATTCGAGACTATCAATAGTTTATTGGCTAACGTTTCGGCCATCGCCTTCTTCGAAGCCTGGAGGGACAGCACAACTTCCAACTTCCATTCGACCAAACGAGTATGCAGAGTATTTGCCCACAATAACAGAAGAGATCCCTTCTTTGAAGCATAGAGAAGACTGACTGCTTTCTGGATATAGAACAGGATGAGCATGAAAATGTGTAAAACAGCAAATTCACCACCGGTAAAGACTGCATCTTCACATCCTTCGATACTGAATTTGATTTATCTCAATGAAATGCCAAAGGAAATAAATACCACAGAGAATGCATCAATAGTAAATGCCAAAGACGATGTCCGCGATGAGACATGCTGATATACCAGAATAGGTGGTCAAAAGTCTGAACGAGTCTGAAGAGAGAAATCTAGTCAGCAAACAGAAAGCTAGCTACTAGTCTATTTGGTACCAGGAAGGCCAGAATTTGATGAGGAAGCATGATGGTGGGGTGCAACTTTGAAACTTTGATCAAGGATAAGTAGATAGCATGCAGATTGTGGCAGGCGTCATGATTACAGGGTTGGGGGAAAATCCTTGGAAGGTATTTTTACCGTAAGAATGCAGGCAAGATCATACAGAATCAACAAGAATCAAGATTACTACATATGAATAGCTTCATAACTCAAAAAATTCTCATTTGACGCTAGCGCAGGCACGAAAACGCTTGTGAGTGAAGTCTACATTGGCACTGAAGTACTCCATGTCAGTCTCCTTCGACGCATTCTGGCAAACACATTGAGGGAGGTACTCCTTTCTATAGAGAATAGATAATGTTACTAACAACTTCCTTGAGATGCTGTGAGAGATGTAGCAATGTCCTCTTGTCGTCCAGTGGCACAAAGTCAGCGGCATCTTGCCTTCGGAAGTGATCGCCGCCTAACATCATGGAAACCAGGCGATCCTTTCCAACTGCGAGCCGTCCCTTTTGCTTTGTGAATCGGTATGGAGATGATCCTGCTGTTTTGACAGTAAAAACCTCCACGGTGGAAATTTTGTCGGAAAATGTATGGTCTAGTGTCGTGCCTTGGAGAAAGAGAAAGGTTAGAGCAGTCAACGATACATGTGCATTCGATTCAGCTTCATGTCTTTCCAAAAAGGCGAATTTGGTTTTGCGACAGGCGGGCAGCTCTGAAGCTCGATCAATCAAGCTTCAAGAGGATTGCAACGAATACGAATTTGGATGATCTACTGATTTTCGACTGCTCGTGGCAACTTTAGAACTCCCACGACTGTCCTGGATGTGCTGTTCATTTCCCGGAAACGATAATCAGTCTATATTCTTTGAAAGTTTTGAGAATTCGCACGAATTGTTGGTCACCATTTCCTCCTCGCGCATCTTCACGATCTTGCTTCGCTTGGGAAGGCAGGATAGATTGATTTGGAGTATTTTCACATAACAATATAACAAGCAAATACATAAATAACAGGCAAGAAGATGTAGAATAGCCGCAGATACAATAACACCAAAGTTTGCCCAGGTGCTTTTCCCCGATTCTGTGGAAGCCAGTCGACAATGACTGTGTGCAAGGATTTGCAACAAAGAGGATTGTCACCCAGGAGGAGGAAGCGCATGAGACACATGTAAAAAATAGACGCAGTTAAATGAGAAATTATTCGGATTTTCGAAGAAGAACAAGCACCACAAACCTTCCCATATTAATGGCATACTGAGGTCCAAAAAGACGTCGAGCCCAAAAACGAAATTATTTCACAGTAATTGATTTTTAGGTCTTGTATTTCCCAAAACAAACCAACTAAGAACTATTACATTTTGCTCAAATCAAAAAAAAATTGCATCAGGCTACTAAACGAATTTCTTGGGGCCTCGCCAATGTTTCAATGGATAGTGGAGGCCAAAGTGCCTATCGTACTACACAATTCGCTGTTAGATTTACTACATCTCTACTATTGTTTCCACGATGATTTACCAGGTAAGCTTTTGGCTTCAGATTGAAATTTGAAAATCTAGCGAGTTTTAGATGAGTATGAGAAATGGAAAAAAGAAATTCATTCACTTTTGCCTACCATAATTGACACCAAAATTCTTGCTGCATCACTGCGGGAGGTACTTCTCAATCACTAATTTTCAAGTTCTTTAATAATTTTATTTGCTTATTTCAGGAGCTATCAACCGCTGGCTGCTCCGTTTTCACACTGGAAACTTTGGAAAATTTTCTGACCTCGTAAGTTGATGTTTTTATCAGCACAATCATATCACAGGAATTTAGGGAGAATGCCGAAAAGATTCTCCCTTTTCGCATTCCTATCGACTATGACAGGAGTGAAGTTGATGGAATAGATCTGACAAAAGGTGAATTATAAAAGAAATCTGTTGGCAGGTGAGGGCACCTGTGTAAGCCAAGGGGTTAGGTCGAGGAGAAGCATACGATTTTTAAAAATAAAAGTTTGAGACAACAACTTAAAAAAACACACAGAAAGGCTGAAAAATGGGGTTCAAAGAGCATGTTAGGACTATTCTACTGCTCTGCAGTTGCTGACTTTGTCGTTCGATTTGATTTGATCTCTAATGAGTAGTTGATGCGTCTTGGAAAAAATCGGGAATATCTGCTGACACCAAGTTTGGTATAAGTATAAGACCACAAGTGAGAAGCGCTTATGAGTATGTTTTGACTGCAAGCAGCTTTTTTACAGAGAGTTACCATAATGCCGCATTTGACGCTTTCATCACTGGGAAAGTCTTTTTGAAATTGGCCCACATTTTTATTTCAAAAAGGTAGGCACGAACTTTTGAGTGATCTATCCCTGATCATCTATTTCAGATGCGTGATAAAGCTCGAGGAACCCTGGACAGTGAGAAGACTCATATTGGCTTGCCGTAAAGATGTTGTAAATAGGATTTATGTCCCAATGATTGATGCTGGATGTTTTTATCTGGTAATAATTTATAGCTTTTAGACGTTTGACGTTCTTGAGACGTCAACGTTCTTGAGGGCTTTGCCGGTATTTTTTAACCGCTAATGACATTCAAAATTGATTCAAATATTGAAGACAAATCCTCCCTCAATTTTCGACTGTCCCAAAAAAAAAAGATATGTAATATACAATATCAAATATATCATCTGGGTTTCATTGATCAATTTTTCCCGACTTCCTTTCATTTTGGAATATTCAACTACCCATGCCACCCGTTTTTCTACCTCAACTATTGCATATTTTGCGTCCATTTTTTGTCAATATCAAGATTTTTCAGGAAGGTAAGGATCCTCCTGGACATCGACCGGATATAATTCGTGTGGCACGGAACAGGCATCCTTGTAATGAATCAGGCTTGTTAAGGGCTATTACTAGAACACCAATTCTGATTTGGGATTGGCTCATGGGGCCACCAAGGGTAAGTACTAAAAGCCACACTGGCTTTGATTAATAATGATACGGCAGAAGTGGTTATGAATAGAGTGAAAAGAGTCTTGATTTCAATAAAAAGGTATATACAAAGGTTACAAAAGATACAAAGGTTACAAAAGAAGGAAATTATTATTCAACTGACGTAGGCGACCAAAAATTCTGTATTTGCTCATTTTTTTCCAAAGCGATACTATAAGCAGCCTTCCTACAGCTCACACTTGTGCCTAGTAACAAAGTCGTAGTGTTTTCCTTGACAATCAGCCTTAAAAATTCAGATCCAACCTGAGGACTTTGAAGAGGTTCAAGAGCACTTTCTTGTGCAATTACATAAGCATCAGATCAACATTCGCTTGGCGAAAGGAGATCGAATCATCGAAATTGCAACAAATACCGCTACAACGTAAGTTTATATGATTTATGAACAAAAATCCTTTACATTTCGAAGAATGTCCCGGAAAAACAGTTATTGTGCAGCTTATATTTATTTTTCGAATGTTAACTATACATTTCCAGCATAAGCTAGCTTGAACTTTTGCTTTGCATTTTTGCCATAGGCATAGGTTCACAGCGAAATTTTTGTGGATGCTAAGATTTTAGCAAAAGCCCAAATCCAAGAAGAGGGCTAATCTAAAAAAAGAATTTTCACATTCAATGGAAGGGGGCGCTTATAAGTTCTACCATATTCTTACAGTAATAAAGATGGTTGGTATTCTTACAGTAATAAAGATGGTTTCCATACTCAGCAAATTTTACTTTAGGTTCGCTCACGTTTGTCAGTATTTTTCTTCACCTGAAAAATATCCCGATCTGGCCAAATACAAAATTATTGGCGACACTGGGCAGACTTTTGAACAAAGATTGATTGCACCACGGGTGGAAAAGGACAGAGCCATGAAATCTACTCCTAACCTCAGTTTCAGGTAAACAACGTCTTAATTTCACTAGTAAGACTACCGTAATCGTTTCAGGACCACAATCACAGTACTGACCATGCTGTTAACATCAGGCATGTGGACAGGATATCGTCTATATCAATTTTGTCATGTGTAAAATACCTCGATTTTGCACTCGTAACTTTTTTGACAAATAAGAGAGATAGAACTTATGTTTATATATAAATGTACACATTACAATATACAATATTTTTCGTTAAAATATACAACCCGTATAAAAATGAACCGAGTCAGGCGATAAAATTGACTAGATTGATATGCACTTGAGGAATTCAATAAGAGATCAATAAGAATTTTTTGGCGGATATCAAAAACACATAAAATTTCCATAATGACTGGGGACCCTCCGAACAGGATGAATTTGTAATCGAGCCGGAGGGGGGGGGGTGGAAAGGCAATCCATCTTAAGTCTGACTTCGCTTGGGTTTCACGGACATATCGTAGGCACATGATCTCTGGCTCTAAATTTGAGAGAATTAGTACGATAATGCAAAAATTACTTATGAAAAGTACGGCGTGTTTTGCGGGTGGGCGTGGCGGGAAACAAATTGGATCGAAATTTGCTGCCACGCCCACCCGCCGGCTTGCTAATAGGGTGGGAAATTTGGTGCTATTTTATCAAATTTTGCGATGAACATTTTTCTCAGATCAACTATACCTTACAAAATTTCGCAAATGTCTATACAAAAATCTCAGTTTAATAAAATTGAATTTTTTTGGTCCCTTACCTTCCACCTGCTATCGTCATTCCTCGAATCCAGCAATTGTGTGGTCTCATAGTGCCTTTGGCTAGTATAGAGCGATTTCTTCCTTATTAAGCAATTGTGGATGCCAACACTTTCAAGAAGCTGCAACAAATATGATTAAGTATGGATGTCCAATACCGTAATCTATCGTAATCCTACCTGCACGAAAAGTGCGCGGTATTTGCTACCAAATATGAGGTAAATAATAATAGTTGAAGCACCGTTGATGTTGACGAGCAGAGCAGCAACCTATAAATACAACCTTATTGGAAACTACTAATTCTTGCGTTTTTTTTTTCTGAAACAAAGTTGCCCGTGCTTGGCTCTGCGCCAGCACCGTTCCAAAGTCGTGCCAGCGATGTGCTAGCGCCGCACGTATTGGTCGATACGTCCGGGCACGGCGCTAGTACGGCACTGACACAAGTTGCTGTTAGATTTTTTTGCAGGAGGAAATTTCAAGAAGTGACTGACCTCAACGAGTAATGTTTCCAATTGTGAGTGGCCATATGCACCGGTCAGTTCCAGGACATTGTTAGCAAAGGCCAATAGATTGAATAACAAAAATTCTGTAGTGATTGCAACCAGCATCACCGTCACGCCGTTTTCTTTTCGTTCTGAAACATATATTAAGATTGGTATAAATCGATTTTTGATAGAGTTCAGATTAGAAAATAGGTATAGATGCGTAAAAAGAAATTTTTTTATACAGCTTTGCCAATGTGCTGGCGTTGTGCCAGCGCCGTTCCACTAAAATACCAGCGCCGTGCCAGGACCTGAGTGGAACAGTGTTGGCACGGACAACTTTGGACGCAGCCTTGAAGGCGCTAACAAAAGTGGTACACCTACATACAATTCGGTATTTTACAATTAAAACATTTTCAGAAATCTCCGTTTCTTGCTACAAAAAAGGTATATTGGAAATTTTCAATACTTACCGCTTCCGGGAGTGTGCGAAATATTTGTTGAACTTGGAGCCAACAGGGTGGTTATATTGGTTGCTGATGAATCTGCTCGTGATACGGCTACCGTATCAATTGTGAGATTTTTAGAGTCTCGCTTCTTCTTTGGAAGCATCGTCATCATTCGTCGCATCCTGGAAACAAGTATTTATAGAGATTAAGCACATCACGGCTATGTGACTGACAGGTCAAATTCTACAAAAAAGGGGAATGGCGGAAGCTAAAAGAGGCGTGGAGAATCAGGGTCATCGTTTAGGGTCTGAAAAATGACGAATAACTTACTTGTAAGAGCTTTTCAGTGTTCCAATAATTCGCAGATTGACAAATGTCAGAGCGGCAAACGGCAAGAAGAACATCACTATCGTATAGGCTGCATTACGGTAGAATACAGTATAGATACTGTTCAGCATGAAGTCAGTTGGGTAGACAACTAGTGATTCTCTGGAAAATTGGTTTTTTGCGATTTTTGAAGATGATGTAGCGCCTGTGACCTTAATAAAAATTAAGAATGCAAAAATCAAAATTTCCTCTTACCTATTATGTCGTTTTGAATAGCAAGGCACTGATTGCAGTTCAAACCATCGAGATGTATTGAAAACGAAGGCGAAGGCTACGGCTGATAAAATCACTGTTTTGACTGCCGAGCTGTTCGAGACCCTTCGAATCTAAATTATTCAATTACTGAGAAAATCCGGGTTCAAAAAACGCAAGACTATCAAAAAATGCTACATTTTTCGTATAGCGCGAAATGAGGACTTTTGGCAGCAAGAAAGCACTCATGTGAACTTTTGGTGGGTAAATACCACCATGAAAATGGCTATATCTTTTCCCGCCAAAAATCAAGCACGTTAATGATATTTGTTTCTCTTTTTTTTGTTTTATAACTTGAAAATTCCAAAACACTAAAAAAACCGCAAAAAATAAGTGCTATTTTTTATTCATATTGAACTGCTGAATGTATGCGTTCTTTTTGCAGGAATCGGTAAAAAAAGGACTTCATGTGCAATTTTCTGCAAATTTAGCTTCATGATCTATCATACGTAAAAGTGCAGACAAATTAGCAAACTCAGTCTATAGAATGTGTCATGAAATGCCCAAAAAACATTTCCGCACTCTGCAGATTTTGATTGCCTATTCACAAAAGCAATTCATTTGAGTGAAATGCATGTGCTATAATCGGTGAGCTTGAAAAAAAATGCGATTCTATCACATTAATCAGTATTACTCAGTACATTTCTATTTCTAGATTACTTTCAGAAAATTTCGCGCAACTCAAAACCTCGAGAGTCCATTATTGATTTTGTTGATTTTCGACTCCATCGCGTGCCAAAACTCACCAAAAACGGATGACAGACACCCAAAAATCGATGCACGGAAACCAACACAGTTAGATACACGGACATGGTGAGCCCAGTCTGTGCCAATGGATAGAACCATACGATCAGTACGGCCGAGTTCCGCGCCATGTCTGTAAAATTGCGTCATATCGAATGTTTTCGATGCGCTGCTTGTGCAAACTCACCAACATCATCTGCCACTTCAGCATAAACGGGAACTGAGAAGACAAAGAAAGAGGCGATCAGTACGGTAAGATCGCTGATGGAAAGCACGAGGAAGAACCAGTTCACCGGCTGGCTTCGCATCTGAAAAAAAGAATAAATATATATTCAAAAAAATTGAGAGACAATTCAACTATATAACCCTGAAAATTTCTGAAGCTTAAAAACAGAACCTTTTTGGAGATTTACGGAAATTTGTTTGCACACCACAACTCATAGGCATAGACGCCGCGCCGCAGTATCAGGCGTTGCGGCAATCTATAATTACCCTAACCGATCGCGATTTTCATTCGCTTTTTCCTTTCAATGTCAATTCATCCTCAGTCAAAGCAGCTGACAATTCATACAGGTTTCTCTCTCTCTCTCTCTCTCTCTCTCTCTCCCTTTCACAGCCAAAAAATCTCACAAAAGGCTAATTTAGTTATTCACTTCCACTGTTTTTGCAAAATTCAACAAAGAAGTGCAAAAAGCTACTTTCTCATTTTTACTTGAAAATACATGACGTTACAGAAGTAATTTTACTAGAAAAGTCCATGTAAACAAAAGTATAGGAAATTGAGTACAGAACATGAACTGAAGTAATTGCATCTCCTGCAAACTCGTCCAGATGCAAAAACTCAATGGAATAGGATTACAGATTTGATGTGTCATTATAATGAATGAGCTTAATTACGCGGAAAATAGATGGATCTGGTTTTTCTGATAGCTAGTGTGCAATTACACCACGTTACAAATGAATGATATAAGACTTGTACAGAATGTTTCGCTTAAATGGCAGCGTTATGCGTACAAATTAGCATTTGACGTCTACAATGGCGGGAAGTTGCGCGCTTGTGGTGTTATTGCACACTATATGCCAGATCTATATGTTGCTGCCGCAAAATTAGCAAAAATGCACATTTGAGCTCCACTGCCGATCAAGCGCGTTTGGTAGATATGCGCAAAGCGGACGCGAACACAATCGTTGGATTATCTTGCCTGGGGTGCCTCAGTACATGAAAACCGCATGTGCGCCGCGCCGCGCCCGCTTAGCTTATTTGGACGCCGCCTATGTCTAACAATCGACTGTAGCTAGTGATAAACTTTTTTGTGAATCGATGTGAGTATGCATAAATAATTAGTCCTGTGTTTTCAACAATTTTCAGCCGGTGGCCTCTTTAAATTTTTGTTCTAAAACCACGAAAATAGGAACTTACCGTTTTATGTGAAAACACTATTACATTGATAGTGTTTGCGAAAATTCCGAATAAGTACGTAATTGGCATCAAATAGGCACGAAATAGAAACTGAATACTGGTGAAGGAATCGGCCGAACTGCTGTCGCACACGTCGAGCGAATCTTCCAACAAATCGCCGACACTCATACGTACACTCTCTGAAATATGTCGAAGCATAAGGGGCTGACTGATGAACTTATCGAACACGACAACTCCTCTGTGCTTCTTCTTGGGAGAAATACGACGCGACGATAATTGAATGAGTGTGGAGGAGATCGTAGTTCTTTGAAGAATGAAGGGTCAAGGATTATGTACGAGCTAGTTTGAAAATAGGGTGCAAGGGGAGGGAGGGGGGTGGGAGGAGGAGGGATTTTGGAAAAATGAGACGTACAAAGCTGTGAAAGTCAGACTTGCACCGACTCTAAGAATTATAAGCTGTAGAAGAATTCAAAAAAAGGTCGAGGACCGACTCAATTATATCTTTTCACATTTTCACACAAGACAGCCATTTACTTCGAATTAGAAGGTAGAAATTAGACGAAAGGGAAAGATTTGTAAAAAACTGATTCGTAACCGTAGAAGTTTTTATCAATCAGATTTTAGGAGACTAACTTGACGTGAACAAATCAATAAAAAAAGCAATTATTCTTAAACAATTTATTCGCTCCTTTCGAAGGTAAGCAAATGCAAAAAATGGAAATGAAAAAAGAAGAAAGTGCTTGACATGATAACAAAAATAAAATGTAGCGAAGCTGACAAACCAGCTACAGTAATCGTACCGTAATCACGACTTGGTTTCTTGCATTTCGCAGTTACAGCTGCCGAAACGCGCGTAAGAGGAGGGTGGAGGGGGGGGGGGGGAGGGAGAGAGACGACAACGTTGATGTTGGACCCAGAAATGAATTTTTGTAAAATAGGGGGTTCATCTGAATTACCGAATTTTCCACCCCTCGTCCCAGAAAATAAACAAATTAAGTGGTATCTTTCCCTGGACCATCTCAAATAACCCGTGAATCTAAGAACTCTTAGAAAAATAATTTTTTTAACTGCAGCAGAAACACAAGACAAACACAAAATTTGCACTGAGAGTTCTGCAAAACTCATTCAAAATGTACTATAAAGGTCATTGCTGCAATTCCGAAAACAGGAAATAGCGACGCGATGAGTGTGAAAATGTGGTTAGACCTGAGGAAATTGAAAATTGTACGGGATTTCCAGCAAAAAGAGTAATACTCCTGTCAGATCTGTCATACGCACACACATATGGCAGTGTAGAACATTCAGGAAGTGAGTCGCTATGGTACATTCAGTTTTTCTTTTACAAACGCTGCAAATGCAGACTACGCACATCGGGAAAATGTTATTGTACAGGAGGCTCTAATGAGTCTATTGTTCGGTTGATAAACCCAGTCATGATGAAGTTTTTCATAGATATTGCTACATTGCCTGACTTGAACTGACGCATGTCACCAAGAGCTAATTATCAGTGTTCCTAATAATGGAAAATATTTGCAGATGAAATAAAATCCCTTTTTTTCAAAATTTTGCCCAAAATGCAAAAAAAAACATTGGCTTGTAGGCTCATATGCCTCACAAGAGTATCTTTCTTCCCTTCTGGAGGCTTCCACAAAAGATCGGCTTTGTTTCCTATGAGCTACATGTATACAACAACTGAAACGGTAAATTTTGAATCAAAAATCTGAAAGCGCAAAATATTTTATAACCCCAATAAAAAACTATCCATATAAAAAAAACTGCCAAAAAAACTCTAAAAATTGTCCAGGAGAGGAGAGTCGAAAAAGAAGTGCAAGAGTGTAAGGAGACCCCACAAAGATATTTACTACATTGTCGTAAAATTTTGCTAAGATTATTTTATCTCGATCGTATACAGTAAAACAGGAACATTTACCCCAATAGCGAAAAGCAGAAATTTTTGACACAAAATTTTTTTGAAACATTTTTATTTGACAGGCAATATCGACTTTGGAGAAAGTGTGTTCAAAAATTTGGAAAAAAGTTAGTCAAAATAATCTTGCAATAATTCTAGTACAACGGAAATTTTTTTCAACGAATAAACGTCAGCCCCATTTGCGCAAGGTTTTATGGTACGGCTTACGGTAGGATAGGTTTAGTGCAATCACACACAGCGCACTACTTGAGAAATGAGTGTGAAACTGGGAAATGCAGAAATTAGCATAAAAAACCATCATTCGCTGCCTACCAGCACTTAGAAGCCTATGTATTCCAGACTAGTTGATTGTTATGCTGTGACGTCTACGTACTCTGTGGGTGTTGTGCAATTACACAATGAAAACCTTGAATCTAATTGTCTCCACAGACTTATGAAATTGTAAACAAATTCGAAAAAATTCGTTGAGTAATTGGCAGTAGAATTAATTTCGGTTTGAAAATGGAGATGAGTGATCTACGAAAGAGGCAAATACAACAAAAGTAATGGTACCATTTGAGATTATGAGCAAGCTGTTGATAAGAATCTGTTCAATAATTGGTGAATTGTTGAGGGTTCCTAATTGGTAGATTGTGAGCGAAAATTTTTTTCAAAGTTAAGAAAGAGATGAGTAACCTACGAAAAAGAAATGTGAATGGTAATTGGGGCTTTTGAAAATGGGAAAATGGATAAAAAATGAATCACGCAAATTAAAGAATAATCCAGTCAGCAGTTACTCGTATTATTGAGACAGTTATTCACATCAAAGATATTTGATTGAATTGAAAAAAGCTTTATTTTTGGATGGACTATCAAGACAGTAGAATTCAATATTTCAATCAATGTTAAAAATCGGGGAGAAATTTTAGCATTTTAGCGGAAATCTGAACAGACAAATCCTTCAAGTTGCGTTTAGAATTTTATATACCAGCACCGTTTCATTGTCGTGCTAGCATAATGAGGGAAATCGATTAATGCACTATAGGCTTGAATCCTGCACGGCGCTAGCACGGCATTGACACCAAGGTTAGAACGCAGCTGACACGGCGTCGGCGCCGGCACGACGCCAGCAAGCTTTGGATGCTATCTCATGGACAAAGAAGGGGATGGATTATAAAGCTGCAAAATCATAAGCTTTGGTTGTTTGTAGACGTTTCTTTCTGCAAATTTGCGTGGGATACTGTAGCAAACAATGATGAGATATTAACGAAAACAAGGATTATCAAGGCTGAATAAGCGACATCTTAACAGAAACAAAACACTCTTAAACGCTTGGGCGAATCACAATGCAAGCAGCCTATTGTTTGCGAGTTGTGAATAATACGTGGGGGGGGGGGGGTTCGAAACCGAAAACATCAGAAATTAACAGTCAGACAGCAAAACGAACAAAGCATCAGCATTCGTCGCCATATCTTCCCCAGACTTGAGAAAACATAAAATTCAAGGGATTCCCTGAAAGTACAAAGGGAAGTGCTCAAGAGTGGCTCTGTCACAATTTATAGTCCAGTTTTCTGCGTCATTCGGGTTGTCTTAATGGAATCTGAGCATTTTGTGAGTTCCCCTTTCCTGCGCAGTTTTTCACCGCCCGACTCTTTTGTTAGCTACGTCAGACTTTCATTAACTAAGATGCTAGCCGAGACGTAACACTATCGGGGCAAATTGAAGGGGAAGGAAGAAAGGAGAGAAAAAGGGTACGCAGGAGAAATAACGCATCCTTGAAGATGGAAAATATACGCATCACTGATCCCGGAATATTGCTTGAATGAGTCTAACTAGTAGCAGTCGATGACCTGAGTTTTTTCAGAGGGGGGGGGGAGGGGGAAGATAGAATTTTCTTCCGTCTTTTCAGATATTCTGCGAAAGATGTGAAAGAAATCCTCACAAAGCTATTTCACTTGAATATGTTTATAAATTAACGAGATTCAATTAGAGGGAAAGGACGAGGGAGGAGGGTGGGGGAAAGAAGGAGATTTTGATTATGGAATATCGGGGAAATATCGGTTGAAGAATAATACCTGGCAACTTTTGTGAAGAAGATGGAAATTTCAAGTGTAGAGATTTTTCAAAATTTAGAATTTTTGAGGATTGCGAAGGATTCTCAGTTTTAAAATCCAAATGGCATTTCCGCTCTAGGAATAGCAAAATTCACTGCGTCACACCATCTGCACCAAAAATTTCGCTTTAGAAGATAATTTGAAGTGACTAACGTCGTAATTGCACATCGGTGCGCGTTTCTTCACTCTGCACCTCTTTCCAGCAGTGAAGCGCAAAATGTAGAAACAATGGAATAGTAAATGAGAGCAGCGCTGACGAGTCAGAAAAGAACATAGAAAGCAATTGTCTTGAACTTTTAGAGGATATTAAAAGTAATTTTGAAAAAAATCAGGGTTTTTCTGGTATGCACTAGATCTAGTAATAAAGAATCGTTAGCTCAATTCAAAAATCTTTCAATAGCGGAAAACACGGCGGGTCCCAAAGCGAGCGCTCTTCCAGACAGCACCTTTGGTTTACTGGTTCACTAGTAAGAACAAAAAACCTTTTTTCTATTCTAAAAATTTCACTTTCTTTTGAGTCGATATTTAGAACTTTTCTTACAACACAGAGTTACCAAAAAGTCATGCAACTACTAGATAGGATGGCGGATGAGCTGCAAAAACTTTAAAATTAATTTTTAAGGTGTTTTGTGATTCTAAAGAATGTTGGAAAAGAGGAATGTGCCTAATAATATGAAACATAGCTCTACTGTTTCACACTACAATCTGTGTCGAAAGTAAGCGCGTGCATTGCGCGAATCTAGACGCGTCGCATCCATGCGTACGCGTGCACGCGCGCAAACGCGTAAGGCAGCTACGCTAATCAATACTTAGCTATGGCTGGAGAGCTTGAAAGAAATATGAATATAAAACAATATTCTATATATAGGGCGAAATCTTCATGGGGTAGGGAAACGAATTCCGCCACTTTGAATAGCCTCCGCGGACTACTGGTCCTGCAACGACATGCAGCAGCTGCAAAAGGACCGGTTGCCAGCGAAGGCGGGCTCAGACTGGCGAGTTCGTTCTTCTACCCCTCTTCATGGAAAGGATGGATGCAGTATTTAATACGAAAATAATCTGCAGTCTTATAGTGTGACGAAACTTTCCGGAAGCTTAATCTATCTGAGAAGTTCTGGTTCTGGAACTTTCAATCTTCTAAAGAG